TTCAATCTATTCTGATATATGAAAGAGTACAAAGTCAAATTTGTCATAAAAATAGAGTCCCAATTTAATGTTTACTCAGTGATCTCATTTAGGAAGTCAGTGTTTTTGTTCCTTATATAACTGATTACCGGAAAAAACGGCACCGTTCCCAATAGAAAATAGACAACAAATTTCCCAATTCATGACTGATAAAATTCCCAAATAAACACTGAAAATTTCCTCAAAAATCGTCAAATTTAAAGGTAAACAAAAACAGGATTGCCATTGAATAAGTGATATGCGATAAAAACCAAGTAGTATAACCACATTGGTGATATTCGTACCTAGTTTAATTTCGTACTTTTAGTGTTTCACACCTTAACATTATTTATGTACAATTTGTTATGATTATCTTTTTTTTTCAACCTCAAGAAGCATAAAGTTAATAATACATGGTTTTAAAGTGTTTATTATGCATAATTTTTCATGTCTCCCTGGATAAAGAAATTCCCAAAGAATATCTTGCATCTTGTGTAAATTCCCATTTGAGTCAAACCGCTAGATTTTTTTTACCAATCTGTCCGGTACCGGCACCATTACCAAAGTAGGGGGAAAAAAACACTGGAAGTGGTATCTGTCCATATGCGGACTACCTATTATCATTAGCCAATCAGAACGTCATCGCTATATACAGTGCTTATACCAGTATACAAAACCAATTGACTGCCTAAATGATAACTTCATCTGTCTGAGGTGGGCATGTATGACAATTTATTGATATTAATGCATTGTCTCTGTCTGATTGACTCAATATGTGCTACTTTAGCTATTTGATGTAAACTTCAATATTTGTGATTAACACAAGTAAAAGCAAATGGCTTTAAAAAAAGAAGAAGTGAGTCAAGTAAAAAATAATTAATTTCATTGATGAACAGCTGCTGATTACATCATTGATTTCAGTCTGTAGACCTCATATTTTAATGTTGCTCACATAATGGTTACAGAGTGAAATTACCAAACTTAACAGTTAAATGACAATTAACGCACACCTCTGCGAAAATTTACTAGAAGCTGATTTTACAAAATCATATGATTGATATGTTGTGGACAATAAGGTTGAATGGCATTGTATGCACTCTCTACAGTATAGTATAATACATGTACGTTTTTAAAGTTGTAATAGTTATTCAATGCAGAAAAAAATGAGCTTTAAAAATCAAGTAAATAGAACATAAGTATATTAATAATATTCATATATATATATATATATATATATATATATATTTTCATATATTCAGCTTAATTCCATTTAGATGCCATACAGTACATGTTTGGTGACCAAATAGGGCTGTCATTGAATATCGCGATATCGATATATCATCGATATTCATCATCCGATACAATATCAAACACACTTTCACATATCGATACAAGCTGAAATTTCTTTATTTCTGTTAGTTAATATACCTCTCTATTTTGGCTTATAAGAGAAGTCACTTTTTTCCTAGTTTTCTTTTGGCTAACTTGAAATTTAAAGGGACTCCACTGAGGTTTAAAAGCCTAAAAACATAACATTAGAATTCTTTTACATAAATGAAAACAGAAATATATGCAAAGATAGTTAAGAAATATACTTTAAAATAAATCGAAAATCGTAGTTTTATGCTTTTCTTAGCCTAATTTTGAGTGAAAAGTGTTTTTTTAAACGCTTTTCATTTTGGGTCTTTTTTATGCCCCCCACAAAGTGGGAGCATATAGCGTTGCACTTGTCCGTCCGTACGTCTGTCTGTCCGTACGTCCCAAAATCTTTGTGAACGGCAACTCCTCTTAAACCGGATGGCAGATTATGCTTAAACTTACAGGGATGAACAACCTTAATGTGTAGATGGTAGTAAAGGAAGGAATTTTCGCTGGCGACCCAAATTTAACAGAATTATGGCCCTTTGTTGATTTTTTCACTATATACTATGTAGAAATTTTTGTGAACGCAACTCCTCTTAAACCGATGGCAGATTTTTGCTTAAACTTACAGGGAAAAGAACAACCTTATTGTGTAGATGGTAGTAAAGGAAGGGAATTTTTTGCTCTGATGCGACCAAATTTAACAGAATTATGGCCCCTTTGTTGATTTTTTCCACTATCTATACCATATAGAAAATTTTGTGAATGCAACTCCTCTTAAACCGGATGGCAGATTTTGCTTAAACTTTCCAGGGAAGAACAACCTTAATGTGTAGATAGCAGTAAAGGAAGGAATTTTTGCTGCGATCAAATTTAACAGAATTATGGCCCTTTGTTAATTTTTTCACCTACATACTATAAAGAGAAAATTTTTTTGAAACTCAACTCCTCTTAAACCGGATGGCAGATTTTGCTTAAACTTCCAAGGATGAACAACCTTAATGTGTAGATGGTAGTAAAGGAAGGAATTTTTTGCTGTGACCAAATTTTAACAGAATTATGGCCCTTTGTTGATTTTTAGTTTTCAACTTGTGGCACATGTAGTCTAAAAATATTTGACCTAGAGTCATTAAGATTGGACAGAACCTGTGGCGTGTGGGGGCAAATGCCGTAGTCCTTATTGGACACATTTTCTAGTTTTACAATAATTGAGATAATAATTATGGAAAAACGAGTGCGCGAATGATTCTGATAAGTGTGACCTACGCAAGATTCGTGGTCTACATCCTACACACAACAAATTGTACCATTTATCTTGGAACAAAAATATTTTTCAGTCCATCAATGTCAAAAAAACCTCAGTGTGTAAGTCCCCCTTTAAACTCCGTTTTCAAATGTCAGTGACAAGAATAACAGAAAAAACAAACTTTCCTGTTAGTTTTAGTATTTGTAATGTGTAATAGGCCTACAAGCCTGCATACACCACCATGATCCGAAATTTAGAAAACACATATATAAATGTTTATTCATTGTTTTCTACTATCAAAGTTTGATCATATCGATGTATCGTCGATATTTTGTATCCTTCATCGATACATGGCAGAAATTTCCATCATATTGACAGTCCCTAACTGACCAAATTAAGATAAGTTTAAAGTCGCAAACATCATTGACTGTGGTTCTATTCTGCAGAAAACATAACCAAATTCCGATCATCTGCTTGGCAGAAGAACACTATATTCATGATAAAGATCTAAGATTGTCGCTAAGTTTCTGCAAATCATGTACAGCATTTGTTTTCGACTAATCATTGTGTGTCACATACAAATAGATTTAATAGTTAAGTTAATAAAATTAAACTAGTTGGAAATGAAACAGAGCCTTTACATTGTATTGGTCAATTAACATAAGTTTGTAAGACTGTACAGAGCCCATAGAATGTTTTGAATGCAAATGCGGCACATAGGTTTGTGGTCTCACCTTATGAACATATTAAATTTTCATCCGAAGAAGTCTATCCTCCCAAATATTTAACCTTCAAGGATGAGCCTCTGTATTTCGAGGATTAAGATAATCTTAATCCACTAGTACCAAATGTATTATAAAATTACATTTTCTTTCCGCTTCAAAGCCACATATTTTTATCCCTTCATTTAACCCGTTTTTTATTGAAACATTTATGAAGCAAAAATCACAGGGTAATAATTTAATAATTCTCCTGTGGAGCTAGTATGAACATATTTAATCAATAAAAACCCGTAGATCTATGTACTATGTTAAGCTTCTGTTCCAAAGGATTGCTATTGAGACATTTTCTTATCAGCTCTCATATTATCAATTGATATTTGTGCCCCTCAAATAATTCCCGCTTTGTGATATCACAGTTGTAAGTAGTAATATATAGTTTTGTATTTATGATAAGTACTTCCTTACTATTGTTAGATGTAAATATAGCCCGGATGAATTATTTATTCAGGCTACAGAAAGATTGAGTGCTCTTGTCAATCCTGGCAAGAAGAGTTGTGAGTCTGTTAAACTGGATCAAGCATAATATCGCTTTCATTACATTACACAAAATAAGAGAAGGCTTTTAAAGAGCTTTGATTCTACTAGTGAGTGGGCAGATCTGATTTCTGCCCTGGGAAAATAAACAAAAGTAAGTTATTTTGATCTATTGTTTTATTAGACCTGATTTGAAAAATTAATCTCTGTCATGTAGATTAGTCTCATGTATTGTGACAATTTATTTCATCAATTTGTCCTTTAAACAAGAACACCTTAAAAAAATATTTCAGAACACCTGATGTTCACTATTTCATCAAGTGTTTTATTTTTGAGTTTTCTAAAACAATACTTGAGATTTATTTTATGTCTTATAGAGTATTTAGAATTTAATCTTATCATTATTATATTTCACAAAATTGCATTTCATTTGTTAAATATTGCGTATAATATAAGAATATATTGTTTGTTTTATGAAATTTTTTATTGCTGTTGGTTTTATATTAGTTTATATTACTGTGTACAACGCCATTGAGTATATTTATATAATTTTAATAGTTTAATCAAATGAACAAGTTTCATGTTTCACAATGTATTATAAGGTGTACAGTTTTTAAAATGAAAATATCCTTTGTTGTTGATATTATATTAATTTTTATTTTTAATTGATATCTTTTAAAAATATAAAACCGTTTTTTCTTTGTAAATAATACTAAATTATTTTGCAACTAATAAAGAAATTATTGAAAAATTTTAAATATTTAAAAAAATGTGGTTGGTTGTAGAATAGAATGATTTCATTAAAATGGTATACATTATTTTATAGGTAATGACTTTTTAGGAAAGGTGTTAACATTAATGTTTACCATTGTATTTATGGTGTTTCTTCAGGTTCTGTTGGCTCATGTAAAATATTCAGTCATTCCCAAAGAGAGTCCCCACAATTGGGAAAAAAAGAACTGGCAAGAAATGTCTACATCCTGCCTTTACCAAGGTGGTGTTCCATGTAAAAGCCCTGGAAACATATGAACATCAACTTCCAAGTGGAATTTGGCACATGAAGAGACTGGCGCAGGATCTGTTCATTTATTAGCAGGGTATATTTCCGTTATTGTCACATGCTGCATGAACGTGAAGCCTGTCCTCTTGATGATTTTATGAGAAAAACAATTTTGTCCAACGCTGAGACAGAGGATCAAACCTGGTCTCAATGGCTGTTGCTAGGTCTCCTACCAGGGATGGAGAAGGATCAGAGTTTCTTTGATAGGTAAATGACTTTAGTCAATAGGCATTGTAGTATATGTGTAGGTTCAGGCTGCAAAAAAATAACTATGCAAATGAAAAATGATAAAAGAATTAACAGTGAAATAGTTAAAGTAAAAACTTTTGAAGATTATTCAATACAGTAGGTAAAATATTTGTTGATGGATAGCCTTTTCTACTTAAAAAAAATGACTGCAACTTTTATTATATTTATTTAGCTGTTAAACCCAGGACCAACTTGTTAATTAAGAGATTGATGAAGGTACAAGGGTTATTCATATTTCTACAACAGTTTATGGGAAGTGTAATACACAGCTGTCCGTCTGTTCGTCTTCCTGCCACAATATTCCTACTGACACAACTTTAAATAAAAAACAAACTATGGAGGATGCAACTTCATATGATTGGACTAAATATCAACCTCAATGGTAAATATAAGAATGCTTTAGTTTTTCATATATTATGAATTACCCCCTTGGGCTGCCATTTTGACAGTTATTCTTAAATAAGATTTAATAACATCTTCATGTTGCGGTTTGAATCAGGATATCTGTCAAACATTTTCTTGCTTATACTACCATATTTAAAATGGTTTATCTTCGAATAAATTCAATTTTTCACATGGAATAAATGTCTTATTTCATCCCTAACTATTTTAGCAGTATGAATTCAAAACGGCTTAAAATGACGTCATCCTAAGAGATTCCGTAAATACGCAGAAAACATCATCATTTTAACTGTGGTTCAATTTATAAATGCACTTTATTTAGTCAATTTTTTTTAAAAATAAGATCCAAGTTTTATTACAATACACACAAGCTATTAACCTTTATACAATTTTTTGATGAAAAAGTATGTTACTAGAAATATTCAAATACTGAATTCAATTATTGATGTGAGCTTAACATGTGTTTTACCTTGGATTTGTGATGCTTCATGTATTTTGTACTGATGGAGGCTTTGCAGTCCAGGACAGCTAGTTCAAAGAAGCATGCAATAGATTAGCTTTCCACTGCACAATAGCCAGCTTACACATTCTGACATGGCTAAGATCGTTAAATACGCCATCAACGTGTTGTTACGTGAGAGACATGTCGTTAAACAGACGGTTCTATGCCTGGCTTTTAGGGACAAGCACTAACATGGTCTCACGCCCATGCAGATGGTTCTGAAGTTGTCGAGATATCTTACTTTGAAAAATATCCCAAGACTTATTAATTCAAGCTTTGAAGTATAAATTGACCGAGAAACAAGATTTTGATGGACACGGGAAGCTCAAGTGTGAAGTCTGCAGTCCTTCGGCCTTCAGGATCCTGATCAGTTTGTTGGATAAACCAGAAATAGGTCCAATTATCCTAGAAAGTGTTCTTTTGTCAATATTTAGATGTCTTCATAGAGAGTTTGAAATGTCCACCTTAAAATCCCTGACAGAAACAAGTAAGAAGGTAAAAGGGGAGACAAATGCATACGATGAATTACTGAAAACTGCAAATTTATTGTTTGGTACATTTGAGCCATATTTTATCTGGGACTTTGCAGCTAGAATGTACGATCAGTCGTGTTCAAACAGTGGAAGGAAATTGCTGCAGCGTCAAAAGTTCGTCGGTGTCTAGGCACAGTGTGACCAATGATGAGTTTGTTAGTGTAGCAGAACTCAGTCAGTTAGTGGCCTTTCTTTTGGAGATTGTATCGTTGGTAAGCTGAAACATATATCCTTTTGTAAAGTAGTTGGAACCATATTTTGCTTTAAGGTATATAAAGCTATATCTCCATTCACTGCAGTTTTTCAAAAAAAATATTGAGTACTTGAAAAGAATATTTTCAGTTTGAACCAAAATTCCTGTATGGATGAAGTATGTTGGTTATGTTTCCTTTTGAGTAAATGGCACATGCACAAAATATTTTGCCCAACTTAAAATGGCAGTATAATATTTTGTTCAAGAACAATTGAGCCGTGTCATGACAAAACCAACATAGTGCGTTTGCGACCAGCATGGATCCAGACCAGCCTGCGCATCCGCGCAGTCTGATCAGGATCCATGCTGTTCGCTTTCAAACTCTATTACAAGTAGAGTAACTGATAGCGAACAGCATGGATCCTGATCAGACTGCGCGGATGCGCAGGCTGGTCTGGTTCCATGCCGGTCGCAAACCCATTATGTTGGTTTTGTCATGACACGGCTCAATTCATTCTGTGTTAACATACAGTATTCAAGTGTGTTAAATAACAGAGACATCTTATGCTACAACTTTTTAGAGAATCTAACATAATATTTTGTCCTTGCTTTAAGGAGGCAATAAAATTTTACTGTTGATAATTTTCATAAAAATATTTCATAAGATGTAGCTTTATTCTCTTTTACAGTACAACAGAAAATTCTTCCATAATATTTTTATTTATTTTCAAATTTAGAACAAGGATGTGTACTGTATTTTATGAGTTTGAAATTTATTACAATTATATTTTGCTCAAGAAGTATAAAAAGTAGACAAAATATTTGTTTGAATGATAACTGTGTTTCTTGAGATTTCCAATCTTTTATTCATCCTAAATATTTAAATCATTTGCATCTTTCTTCATTATTGTGTAGAAATTTTTGTGATTATAAGACTTCTATTTTAGGAAACATTCAGTGAGACCCAGACGGAACATTTACCCAGTCTGCTATGCAGTATAATAACCAGTCTGACAGAACACTGTGACCGGCTGTCTGATAGTGATGTGATCACCAGTCTACAACTGTGTACCAAGATTTTATCCAAGGTTCAACCAACCATGACAACATCTTGGTCACATGACCTATCATGTGATGAGTCACATGATGTTGTAGAAAAGGTGGAGGTACTAACCCTGCTTTCACATTCCACTCCTCTTTATGCTGTTCACAATTTTAATGAAAGCAAGTTGTTCACATGAAATAATTTTACTCTTAAAACTTTTTTGTACTATAATTTGAGTACCTGAATTGAGTTCCTGATAATTTTGTATGCTAAGTCAGTCAGCCAACAGTAAGGGCCTGGTCAGACTGTCCACATGTGCAAGCTGGCGGGGCTCTGTGCTGGTGGTAAATGTTAATTACTTTCGGTTCCAGCAGGGTAAGGGTTAAGAATATATTTTACTGGTTAAAAACAAGTCATATTTTGTTTAATGCATCTGAAGTGTGAACAATTTGCTTGAAAGAGACAATTTTTTTATGGATTGAATAAGTTTGCATGACATTTTTATGTAGGAAAATATATATTTCATTGTTTTATTTATATTTCATTGCTTATTACACAAATATATAGAAGATATTCAATTTTTTTCTATAAATACAGTATTTATTTTCATTGAGTGGTATGAAAATAAATTTTTCAAGAGTAGTGGTAGCCACAAGTGAAATATGATAATTTTCATACCACAAGATGAAAATTAATCCTGTATTTGTAGAAACAAATTTAATTTTCTGTTTATTATAAACAATTTTCCCTTTTTTGACATCAAAATTTGAAAGACTTTCCCTTAAATTTTGTATATTGGCTGAATATAGCAGAAAGTAGTCTGGCAAGACACCAGTGAAAATATGGAAAATATGTTTCACTGCAGTGAAAATTAAAAATTTTACAGGGAAAATACGGAAAATGAAAATACATTTTTTACTTCATCAATATTTCTCAATATTTCAATTATAAGTATGTAATGAAATATGTTGCTTAGTTATACCTATATTCAGAGGTTTCAACATCTCATTTAGAATTCAGTTTTATCAAATAAGAGTGTATTCTTTAATACATAATGCATTTCTAAAATTTAACGTAGCAGTTATGTAATATACACTATTATTACAGTATTATTAATACATATATTTTGAAATTTAATGAACAATATATGGGTATAGCATATCTGTATATAAATTTGAACACCAGGATTTTATATTGGAGAAGTAAGTTATATTCATCCATTTTCTGATTTCCTTTTAATGGAGATGTATAAGTTTTCCTGACTCTTGATATATTAGCTGAATTTGTGAAAATGAACTTGTTGGTCTTTGACTTATTAACAGACTAATATTATCATGAGGAAGTTCAATATTGATGTTTTCAAAATAAGTAGCCAGAAGTATAGAGCTTGGTCAGGTTATCATGAATGTGTAGACTAGCCTGGCTCTATACTGGTGTGTTTTGGTAATTACCATAATTTGTTTGCCTGTATTATTATATAAGTATATGCAAAAAAAAGAGACTCAACTGAATATAATCAATATATACATATCCTTTCGACGGCCATAGCGTAATAAAACGTACCGAAAAATCAACTTCTCAAAAGCCGGGCGCTATAGTCATAAGAAGGCTATAACGTAATAAACCGGTATAAAATTTTTAGCTTCCTGAAAGCCACTACTGTTTGTCGTAGGAAGGCCAACAAAATTTAGTTTTAAATGACTAAATTCTTGAAGTTTACCTTTCATTTATTTCATTCTGTTAAATGTTGTTCAAATAAAAACACCAAATATGTTAATTGTATAGTGCCCTTTATTGACAGATATAGTAAATGTTTAGATATACAGTACACTTTTTCATTAATGAGGTAATCAAATCGATATCAAAATTAAATGAAGAAAATCTTCTAAATGGTATAGTATTTTAAAATGCATTTATTCATACATCAAACGGAGTTTCTGTAAGCAGTTCTCTTATTTGAAACAAAAATAAGTTGAACTTACTAAATTCACGTTGAAAAGCATAGTATCAATCACCCTTCCTGAGAAAAATTGATTTTCATTGATTTTCAATAATTACGTTTTAAAACGTTGTGGAGGTTTTACTCAACAGGGTATTCTAATGGGCTATATCGGTAAATAACGTAAAATTTACCGTTTTAAAACGTTCAGAACTTGTTTTGAAAAACAAGGATTGTGAGTCTGTTTATTGCAGTTGAACGTAATATTAACAGTGTTATATGGTATGGCTTTGTTGTTTATCATATCCAGTTGAACAGCCATAGCGTAATATTTTGATTTTTCATAAACACATTAAAAAACCAGAATGTACGAAAACGAGGTTTTTACGGGTTTGCATGACACAAAATTCAAGTTTTACGCTGATTTACGCTACGGTTTCTAGAAAGATATATTTTTGATATGTTTAACTACGCTATGGACGTCTGTCGTAAAATAAGACTGGCTTTCAGAAATGTAAAAATTCGATACGTTTTCTTACGCTTTGGCCGTCCTACGGGTATAGCGGATGGCCGTCGAAAGGATATGGAGCCAACTTCTGTAATTGAATATTTAGTGTGAAATCATCAGCCAAGAGGTGTTAAGTTGAAACTTTGTGTCAAATATTGTCTCCAGAATATTTTTAAGGAGACCCAGTTTCTAAAGATTACTCTTGCTTTATATCTGATACACAAGTGTTTCCAGGCTTAGAAGTTGATAATTCACTTGTGGGGAACTAGCTACTTGTAGAGAACAGGTTACTTGTGGGTGGAGGTTACTAATGGGGGGACAGATAACTTGTGGGGGACAGGTTACTAATGGGGGGACAGATTAATTGTGGGGGACAGGTTACTAATGGGGGACAGATTAATTGTGGGGGACAGGTTTACTAATGGGGGGACAGATTAATTGTGGGGACAGGTTACTAATGGGGGGACAGATTAATTGTGGGGGACAGGTTACTAATGGGGGGACAGATAACTTGTAGGGGAAAGGTTACTAATGGGGGGACAGATTAATTGTGGGGGACATGTTACTAATGGGGGGACAGATTAATTGTGGGGGACAGGTTACTAATGGGGGGACAGATTAATTGTGGGGGACAGGTTACTAATGGGGGGACAGATTAATTGTGGGGGACAGGTTACTAATGGGGGGACAAATTAATTGTGGGGGACAGGTTACTAATGGGGGGACAGATAACTTGTAGGGGACAGGTTACTAATGGGGGGACAGATTAATTGTGGGGGACAGGTTACTAATGGGGGACAGATAACTTGTTGGGGACAGGTTACTAATGGGGGGACAGATTAATTGTGGGGACAGGTTACTAATGGGGGGGACAGATTAATTTGGGGGACAGGTTACTAATGGGGGGACAGATTAATTGTGGGGGACAGGTTACTAATGGGGGGACAGATTAATTGTGGGGGACAGGTTACTAATGGGGGGACAGATTAATTGTGGGGGACAGGTTACTAATGGGGGGACAGATTAATTGTGGGGACAGGTTACTAATGGGGGACAGATTAATTGTGGGGGACAGGTTACTAATGGGGGGACAGATAACTTGTAGGGGAAAGGTTACTAATGGGGGGACAGATTAATTGTGGGGGGACAGGTTACTAATGGGGGGACAGATTAATTGTGGGGGACAGGTTACTAATGGGGGGACAGATAACTTGTAGGGGACAGGTTACTAATGGGGGATAGATAACTTATGGAGAACAAGTTACTTGTAAAGAACAGGTTAGAACTGAAAAGAAACAACTGTTTGTTTGGATAGAGGGTACCTAAATGTATGCTTTTTTCTGTTCCTAACTTTAAAATAATAAAGTTTTAATATAAAGTTCTGCAGCTCATGTATTAGTCACATAAACTGTAGTTTTTCCTTGTCTTTAAGCTAATTTACTGACTTGGTAGCTATTTGCTCAAAAACAGTTAAAATAAGTATCTAATGGTCTTTAGGATATTTTATTAGAGTAGATTCTGATAATATAAACAGGGCCCGCTATTAGGGCAAGGCCAATTAATAACTTTGCCCTAAATGCCATTACTTTGTCATAATTTAACTAAAAAGCGAAGTCCACTTCACCTAGAATTCCGAAATAATATATTCCTCATGTACAAATCACACAAATTAGCATCCTTTATGTTTTGGTTGATGTGAAGTTATTAGAAAAGCTTGGAAGCTATAAAAGGTATCTAAACAAGAAATAGATATAAAATTGTCATGCTATAATAGCGCTATTTCCTTTCTGCTGGTCTTATATTATAAAAAATCTACTGGCACCATACACTATGCTTTTGAATTTTAAAACTTTTTAGTGTACCTAATCTAGGCTCTATCACAAAATAAAAATTAAAAAAACCTGTTTCTTTTACATGTATATCCAGATTTACTTAATACTTAACATTAAAATTTCCTTTTTCATAATTATATACATAAAATAGATATGATTAAAAACACTAATTAATGTAAGTTTGCTGTAGCTTTCCATCTTTTGGCCTTTTTCAGCAGTATTTATTATTCATACAAATGGATACAAACTTAACAAAGAAAGTGACATAACATCACGGACTGACTCCTGCTGTAGCATTGCTTTCCTTTTACTATAAAAAAATTTCAGGTTTCCCTATCAATTTTACAATGGTTAAGTCTTGTCTACAGATGGCCATGTTACTTTGCCATTGGTCCAATCTGATAAACATCAGCTCCTAAATTATACTACACTTTGTATACAAACATAAAGTCTGAACTTTAGTTAGTTTGCCATTGATCAGTTTAAGGCATAGGAAGAGCTATTCTATTGGAGTCACACTTTGGTTTGTAGGGAGAGAAAATTGTATTTACACAGGTGTCAGTGTCACACTTTGGTTAAGTTTTTATGTGCAAGTTGGTATCTCAATAACTACTAAAGGGAATGGATTGAAACTTCAGACTGTTATTTGAAAGCATAAAAGGAGATCATTATGAAAGGCCCATAACTCTAACATGAATTTTAATAGAATTATGGCCCTTTTTCGAACTTAGAAAATTTAACATTATTCAGACTCTTGTTTTACTATCAAGCACTGAGCATAGTCGAGCATGCTGTTCTACTTACAGCTCTTGTTAAATCTTGGTGGGTATTAGAGCCAGTTTATTTGTTAAACCTGCTTGCTTTGTCCCTGTGATATGTTTTTGGTATCAAATTGCATGCTATTAATCCTCAAGTGGGAAGTTCTTTATTTCGGTGTCAGTCATATGATGGTTTTACCTCCTTTATTTGCTAGAAAATTTATGTTTTGTAATTTTCAACAGCATTAAATTTTTATTTTCATAAAATGTAAAATTAGCAAAAAATAGTTGCTTTATGGAATTTTTGTGCACAAAATTCTTTTTTAAGTTTTAATCCCATTTTTACTGTTTTTATTTTTTCATTTTAGTGAATGAATTCTCTTATAGATATTTTCTTTCTCTTAATTCTTATGTTGCACAATTTCTTGCTTAATATATAAATTTTAAACGTTATACATTTTCTTTAGTGTCACATAGCTGATGTGAAGTGTTATGCATGTACTTAATAATAATTTTTCCCTATTCTAGGAATTTCAAATATACCATTCTAATAATAGGTTTTTGTTATTTTAGGTGAATGATGAAGTGGTTCCTCAAAAGACGGATGTTGTAAAGCCTATGTCAGTAGAGGAAGCTCTTGAAGTGAATAAAAGTCTGAAAAGAGCTGAATCATTAAAGGGGGGCGATGACGAAGAAAATATGTTAAGTTCCCCTGATAGTGATAAAAGTTCTGACTCACAGACTGGTAGTTCTTGCAGTAGAAAAAGTGATATTCTTACCAATAAAAATGGCAAACCAGTCAAGCAAAGTGAGACTGGTTCTAGTGCCAAGGCTAGAGGGGTCCATTCTAGAAAACATTCCAAACAGAACCAGACTGCAAACTTGATGCAGAAATGCACAGACTGCTTTCAACACTTTTTCCATGAGCTAGTGACCCAAAAATTCATAAGGGCTGAAAACTTGGCAGAAACTTATTTTGGAAGCATTGTAACCAGTCAGCCAAATTGTGAGAGTTATGATTCAGAAGACGAAGACTTGTTTAATAACAGTGATAATTGTGATAGAAAAATCATTCTTGAGAATGAGAATGAAGAAAGTTTGAATACATTTTCATCAGCATGTCATCTGTTAGTAGAGTTTGCAAGTTTTCCTATGTATGGTGCTGACACTAGACTGCCAAGAAGACAACTATCAAAAGGTTTATTTTGTAATTATTTTATACAAGAAGATATGTTTATGATATAAGTGATGCAAGGGAGATAAAGTTACCATTTAATTATTATGAAATTGGTTTTGTTTTTACAAAGGTTGCATACATGCAACAAGTTTTGAAAATGTGGCTGGATCACATTTTGATATAGAATGATGTGCTAAAGTGAAATTTTATTAGAACAAAACTGTTTCCATTATAAACGATTTATAACAATGTACAATGTATATTATTTGATGTAAGACATTTCATTGATTTAGGTAATGTAACATATGTTCTGGGATATGTTATAATGGGAAAAGAAAGACCAAGTGGAGGTTGGTGCCATAGTATCTTTTTATCCAATCAGCTGCACACGCCACCATCCTGAAGTTGTCTTGTTATATTATGTCCCAGATATATTGTAAGAGATTTATTTAAGTGAAATAATTGATCAAACTATGATTATCTTCTCATTTATTGCAATAGATTTGATCAGTTTCGTTCCTAACATATATAGGTCTATACTCTTTATTATTATTATTTTTTCTTTTTGAGAATTGTTTGTTTAAAGATTTACAAGATCATGTATTCATCATTTCAGAAAGCTCAACAGTTCCATTATGGGTTCAAGACCTGGTTACATGCTGTTGTTTTGTTAATAATTTTCACATGCAGAGCTCGGCCATCTCAACCATGTTGGATCTGATCATCTTGACCCAGTCTGTTCAAGTAGAACACAGAACTGACAGTCCTGGGAACCAGTCAGACTCTGGTCACATGACTGTTCAAATATTACCCACACTGCATTGGGAGGACCTTGAGTTCCTGTCTGAACATACAGATTTCTTTAAGGTTTGATACATGATAAATATATATATTTTTTTTATTAGCTTTGCTTTTCTTTTTATGAACAACATGCACATTATTTATAATTATCTCATACCCATGCCACTTTTGCAACTCTGTTAAAATGGTATTGCATTGCCGTGCATATATTTTGACATGACTTTTCAGGTTTTTACAGAAATTTACACTAAAGAACCTAGGTTATTTCTTTTCCCTTAAAGTTACAAAGTTACCATAGTCATATTAGTATAACAAAGTGGTTAAATGTATAAAACTGAGAGAAAGAAAATCAGTTATGTTAACTTTATATTTTTTGTGTGACGTTAAGATTAGGAGAATTTTTGCATAACAAAAATGGTTCATATATGTTACATGATTTTAATATTGCTAGTAGAAAAGTTTGAGCTTAGTTTACATGTGTTCCTTGAAACTGTTGCAAAATGTTAATGACAATAAGGTATTTGCCAAGTGTCTATTTTAGAAATGAAATAAGAATTGTTTTCTTTTCTAAATAATTGGGCTGAAATATTATTCATATACATGCATATAGCTTTTATTAAAAAACTTATACATTAACTTTCATGACATTGTTATTTTTGATAGATGTCTGCTGAGATTTTATGGAGTTTTCTGGATGAAAGGACACCACAATATCACCTGGCTACTGTAAAACTGTTCTACATGTTACACCAGGTGGCGCCATCTAGTTGGATCTGTGAAAATGTCATAGGCACACAACTCATTCATGACTCTCAGGTTAGTACAGATATCTGTTCGATATTCACTGAATTTTTTTATTTAACCTTTATCATACTAAATATTTTAAATGGACTTGTCCATCTTTAAATCTGGACTAAACCGCTCATCATTTATGCAATTTCCAAAATATGTACTGAATAGTTAAACCTGCAAACCTCAATTAGACGGCACAGATGTGCCTAATGATCTTGGCTTGCACTGGGTATATGGGTGGAATCAATTGCCATCAGCAAGCTTAGGATTAATATGCCCGTAGTAATGAATTGATGTAGTTTTTACTGTTACCATAGCATATTTTATCAAATAAATACTTTGTTCTTTTACAAATTTGTGCAATGTATATGTACTTGAAATCCATATGATCTAACTGGAATTTTGTCATAAAAAATATTTTTTCTAATGTCTAAAAGTTACAGTTACCATTTATTAGTTAATTCAAAGTTAATATGTGTACTATATTATTCATTGTATTTTCATTATACTTATTTTATATAAATTTAATTTAATTGCTTTCAACATATTTAATTATTATTTATAATAGAGTGTTCAGACAGATGCGTTTAAGAAGTTCTCTGTATTGTGGCATCTTACAAGAAACAAGAAAACTGATGTTATCCCTGGCAAACCACTCAGAACATTTAACAGGTTTGTTCTATTTTTAATTCAACTATTTTAAGAATAGTGGGGTTATCCTATTCACCCTAGGTTGACTTATGTGTAGGTGTAGGTGTACACTTGATTAAGATTCTTTGTGCAGCTTTTTAGCTCACAAACCACTACAGAAATTCACTTTAAACTTCACACATATATTTGGGATCATATATTTTGGTCTTTATCTAATAACTTATGCAATGACTTTGACATAATTAAAGCCAATGTTAGCGTAGAAAATTCCTATTTGACTTTTCATAATGATACTATGAAGTTCTGAGAAAAATTGAGTGCTGACATTTTTAGTTGATTTCACTGCCAACTTATAACGTAACTGCTGTATATATTTCAGGTCAATGTTTGTGGTATTGGACAGTTTAAAAGATGAGACAAGTCCACTAAAGGTGATAGTAACAACCTGGCTCACACATGTTATACAACAGGGAGATATAAACAGAGTTATGGAACCTCTCATACAAATGTTACTACACCCAGATACTGCAAGGTAAATTATACTCTGTCCTTTTTCTCTCTAAACCATGTTTCTGTTTCTAGAAGTGCCCAGATAATGATTCTCCTTCTTTGAAGAGTATCTAGTATTGTTAAATTCCGTACTTTACTGTACCGGAGTAAAAACGCACCTGCCTACCCTCTAGATGATGTGTTTAAGAAGGATTATCGAATACAAAGTTCTAGATAATCCCTAATAATGATAACAGGATGTTTTTTAGTCATCAGTGACAAGGCTGTAATATTTTTAATTTATTCCTGGAAAAAATAATGCTGTCTTTTCTAATTTTACAGTTTGAAGTATGGTAGATGTTATGGAAAAATCATTTCAGTCACTTAGGAAATCAATTCTGTTTGTTTTTCCATCATAAATATGAACTTTGCTTTTCACATTTACCATATTTTTCTTGAAGAATTCTAAAACTGACATTATTTTTGTATTACAGCTAAAACTTAAATATAGATTAACTTTGAAACACATTTAACAGTGTTTTCATAAATGAAAGTTTTTTTCAAATGCAGAGATACAAAACATGTGAAATTGTATCAATAATATATATGTAATATTTTGCAGGGTATCAGTACAGCATGTGAATGTTCATCAACCGAGAAAAGTTTGTCTATCAGAAAGCAGTGAAGAAAATCTTGAAGCTAACATCTATGCCATCAGCAGTGAGGGTGGTAACGTCATATACCACGTCAGCTCAACCAAAGATGTTCCGAAAAAACAGTTCTCTGACGAACTCAAGTCATACGCTCTCACCGTCCTTGGTGAGAAAGGTGCTCATACGGCCCCAATGAGATCAAGGTCTGAACAAGAACTACATTTTGATAAAGTAGATCCGTCAAATGTTAGTCTAAGGATTAATCCATTTGGATCAGCAAATTCTTTAGACGGTTTAACATCAGATTTAGGTCTGGCTACTTCACGTAGAGATAACTCTGTTTCTAAAGCTAAAAGGCTGGACAAACAAACCTGTGTGAAGGAAGGAATATCATTCTCTGGCACTGAAGAGTCTCAAAAAGGTGAAATAACTGGAGATGAAACTGATGATAATGATTCGGTTACAAATTCAGCAGAAAATATAGCTATGGATATTATAGATGAAATTGTGCAGAATGTAACAAAAGTGAATGGTGCTGATAATGCGACTGGGAGCACTGAAAGCGTTAAGGATGCTGTAAAGACACAAAGAAAAAAATTAACAGAAAGGACAGACAGTGTAAATTCCTTCACAGCAGCCGATGATCTGTTAAATTCTGTTCAAAGGCAGAGGGTTGATTCTCCTACACCGAGTGAAAAAGATATAGCAATGTTCCAAGAGATAGATAAAGATTCAACAAACATACATACACTTCATATGCATATGTTACTGTACATACAGAAATATGACTATGAGAGAACACTTTATGCTCTATCCACTCTGAAAGCAATGCTTGTTGCATGTCCCAGGCACATGGTTACAGCTCTTGTTACAACCAACATCAGTACATTAAGATCAACACAACTAGCCAAACTGCAGTTGCTTCTGGCTCGGCATCGAAAATCGGTTTTTGGAAAAAATTTCTTCGGTGAAATTCCAGCAGACGTGATGTCAAACTACAGAAGTAGCATGTTCATCGAGATTTTTATCTCAGTTTGTTTGTACTTTATTAGAGGCTATTACCCTAACTTGATGATGAGTAAAATGTCCCTAGAGGAGTTGCTAGGTAACAAACAGGTGCACATCTTAGCAACAGAGACCTTGACCTTAATGATGTCAGAAATAGTCAGTTTGATGAGGGATTCTGGGAAAAACTTTGTTTCCTACATCAGTGACTTGCTTCAAAGATGTAAATTGCAGAAAGCTCTTCTACACTGTATTTTGGCAGAAATTTATAATGGCAGAAGGAAAGTAGATAATGAACACTTTGGACAAAAAATATCCGAGGCAATAATCACTTTTAATGAGGACAGCATAGATCCGTCTGCTACAGAAGCATTCCAAATCAAACTGTTAGATCTGCTTCTAGTAATGATAATGCTGGAAGAACAGGTCAGAAAATTTCAGTCAGCGCCTGAAAGCACCCCTACATCTGAATGGGATAGACTTAAAGTGAACTATCAGCCGTCCATGAAGAATGTTAGATACAACATGGGTCACCCCATTGTTGACCAAGGGATGTTTGTGTCAGGTGTTCTCAGTGCATTGAAACAGTCACATACAAGTCACATGCATCGTCATTGGGTTTCCATGGTAACTTCAGCATTACCTTATATGGGCAAGTACCTGCCAGGTATTGTGATGACAGTGGTATCTCAGTTATGTAGAAATATAGAAGCACTGGCAGCTCATTATGAATCAGACGGCAAGTCAAGGTAAATGTAGATACATTCATTCCTGTGTTTGACATAGTTAAATTAATCTAAATTGCCCAACTTGCTATGTTTGCACCAAGAGTTCTCTCCATTAGTTCTGAAAGAAATAAAGAACAAAAATATTTAATTTACTTTATTTGCAATAATAATTAAGCACTTTGTAACATCTTGCAAGTTGGAATATATAACAGTTAACCTTCCATGTTTTTCTTGTGTTACTGTGGCTTGATATTTGATTTTGCTCCTTATAGTATGTAAAGAATATGAACACTTATTAACTTAACTTTATAATGGTGTAAATGACGAGTCAAGTTTTCTTGAGCTCACTACCTAGAGAGATGTGAAGTAAACTTAAATCATTTTTAATTTTTCTGACAAGTATAAAGCCTTTTTACATAGAATTTTAGATATTTTAACAAATTCATGAAATCTACCTGTAGATTTGATTCCGTCCTACTTGAAATTAAAACTGTATAACAGTCATCGAATTTAGCACTGGCCCGGTGGCCCATTGCCAGTGAAAAAATAGTTCGGGCCATGTAAACTTTAGGAAAATTTAGTCAAATATATAGTAGAATAATTCGGGCCAGTAAATTCAAAATCTTAAATTCAATGACTGGTATATTAATGTAAGATTTGATTTATTGCAGTCCATCCTGCAAGATTCCACCTGACCATGTGCTGACCATGTTGAGTGGTCTGATGACATTGTGTCATTACTGTCTCCTAGACAACATGTCCCCTGTTTCTATTGGTCAACAGGCCCCTAGCAACACTGGTAACAACACAGCAACAACAACAATAAACACAAATATTCTCACCAATTTATTCCATGTGTTTAATCCAGTAGGAGGTAGCAAGGTAATCTATGTTTAACATTTATAACAATTTTATCCCACAGCAGTAATAACAGTGATATTTAATTGATTTTCATTGCATTAAGTAGAGGCCAATAGATATAAATGACATCTAAAGACATGTATGGTGACATGTCTGGGGTCTGCACTCTCAGTGCCTGAAAGGGCAGATGAACCCTCATTAAGCCTAGAACACATACATACATACATGGTAGAGTCCAAATGTAAGCTGATTAACCAAACCATTGAAAATTACGAATTTAATTTAACAATATACAATAATGAAATTATAATAATTATATAAAAATATAAGTATAAAGTATTGCCAATTTCAACTTGGATGACAAAAAAAAGTTGAAATAGTACCCTAGATTATTATTACCCTTAAGTGACCTGTTTGTCTGTCACCTAGCATCATCATTCGATGAATCTACAATAGGATAGTTTAGGTCACAAATGATATATATAGATTAAACAAACTTAATCCTATCCACTCTAAATATCTCCAATGGACTGGTCCATCTTTCAATCTGGAGAAAACCATCAATGTAAAGGAAAATTACAAAATAAATTCTGAATGAATAGCAAACAGTGCAGACCACATAGGTACTGGTCACATGGGTATACTCAGTCTCCACTAGCAGGCTTATTGTTAATATCTGTATTCCTTAAATTACTCTGAGATAAGAATTCTTAGGATAATATGATAAAAATCTTTGTTGAAGCTGCATAATTTACTTTGTACATGTTGTATGTGTGATACTATTCTAATAAATGACCATTGCACGATTATTTATTTTCAAGAGTTTCCTATTTCATTTTGAGAATCCATAAACATGTAGATAAGACAGTGTGATATAGAGGATATTGAATGAGTGTAGGTTTCATATTAAATTTATTGAACAAGTTGAATAAATTAAGTATTGAATCTACACGAATATAATATTCTACTTATCAGATACCTAAAATAAGAACAGTAAACTGTTTAAAAGAGTCATTTTTCATTGATGCACGCCTATAGTGCGCTTTTACACTGTGTTTGTATATAACGCAAATGATTTCACGTCAAGTGTTATTACACTAGTGTAATATTGTTTTTATTTAATGGCTTTATTACACTCCTGCACCACAGTTTATTTGATAAAGTATGAATATATCATTATGATACAGGAGGCAAGTCCACAGAGAGATCTTGGCGCCATGTCACCAGTACTGGATGCACGGAACAGTATACTCAGTGTGATGCCAAGAATTATTGCATGTATGGCATCATTGTGGAGAGCAATTAATATTGTAGACAAACAAGAAGAATCTCCAGTCCTTACCATGGGATTTCCAAAGGTTTGTAATTAATAGGTTAGCTTATAAACTTGCTGTATGAGCTACAGTGTACATGAACATTTTGTTATCATTATTATACAAGCATTCTATGAAAAAGTCATATGTATTGTAACCAAGTTACATTTGACTGGTGCATTTTAATTTTACAAATTCCAACTTTAAAATGCTGAAGTATGATATTTTAATGTACTTTCATGATCATAAGTCTATTATATATTTTTTTAAAAATATAATTTTTGCTGTGCTCAGATTCTGTGAAATATTATGCAAATTAATTAGTTAGTTAAAATTCCTTTTTGAAATTATATTTCTTACTCATAAAAAAGGTGCTGTAGGGCAAAATGTTTGTCTCAAGTGTATTTTGGGTGACCTTAAAACACACTTTGTTGAATGTGATAACATCAAAAAATGACGGCTTCAAATTCAGCATGGATTGTCTCAAAAAATATTTTAACGCCAACCCTGCATGTTACTGGATAACCATGTACATTTATGTATTTAGGTTGTGAGACAATATATCCTAGAGTTTATTAGCCCTATATCTCTGCCACATGGTTTACATTTACTGGGTGCTATAGCTGTGGCATGGAATGACAGACGTAAGAAAATTACAGCTAAAAATAGCAGAAAGGTAGGAATTCTAATTTACCTCATTCTGGTACTTGTTTGTGATAAGTGTAAGATTGTGATGTGAGTTTAAAAGTTATTAAGGTAATGGATACAGAAGAAATAAGTATAAGTATCACCTTTATCTTATAACCTGCCCTTATATGATACATGTATATGGAAAATGTATGCTAAATATGTAATTCCTAATATGTACATCTGTAATTCCAAATATGTACATTTGTTTTTCTTAATATGTACATTTGTATTTCCTTATAGGCTAATACATAATTTTCAGTTGGTACCAAGTGTATACTAAGTTAAATTTCAGGATGAAATGACATTTTGATCAATATACATTGTTTTATCACATAGCTGTGCTGTGCTTACGACTCTTTAAAAATTGTATTGCACGGCCAGGCATAGATTTTGACGTGACATTACTTTCATTATATAGCGTTAGGATGTGGTAAATATTAGCGTTATACTAGGCCATCCTTAAAAAAATGTTTGTTTGCAGTTACGCGACCTACTCACAAAATTTACCCCTCCTCAAAAGTTTTTTTCATGGTCTGGATAAAAAAAATTTTTTTTTTAATCAGAAAATTATGCCTTGTGCTTTGTTTTTGTTCTTTTAAAGGTTAATAGAAGAAATAAAATGTACGTATTATTTAATTAGAATTCATTTATCAATTTATTAATTGTTACCAGATTATCAAAGCATAAATTGTCCAGCATTTTGAAATTCCATTGTTTATTTGGGAGTACAGTTCAATAATAAAAAAAAAAAAAAAAAAAAAATTCTGGGTCGGGTTACTGCAAACAAATATTTTTGTAAGGATGGCCCTATAGACACGTCAATTAAAGCTAAATGTTAGCGTTATACTATAGACACGTCAATTAAAGCTAAATGTTAGCGTTATACTATAGACACGTCAATTAAAGCTAAATGTTAGCGTTATACTATAGACACGTCAATTAAAGCTAAATGTTAGCGTTATACTATAGGCACGTCAATTAAAGCTAAATGTTAGGGTTATACTAGAGACACGTCAATTAAAGCTAAATGTTAGCGTTATACTAGAGACACGTCAATTAAAGCTAAATGTTAGCGTTATACTATAGACACGTCAATTAAAGCTAAATGTTAGCGGTTATACTATAGACACGTCAATTAAAGCTAAATGTTAGCGTTATACTATAGACACGTCAATTAAAGCTAAATGTTAGGGTTATACTATAGGCACGTTAATTAAAGCTAAATGTTAGGGTTATACTATAGACACGTCAATTAAAGCTAAATGTTAGCGTTATACTAGAGACACGTCAATTAAAGCTAAATGTTAGCGTTATACTATAGGCACGTCAATTAAAGCTAAATGTTAGGGTTATACTATAGACACGTCAATTAAAGCTAAATGTTAGCGTTATACTATAGACACGTCAATTAAAGCTAAATGTTAGCGTTATACTATAGGCACGTCAATTAAAGCTAAATGTTAGGGTTATACTATAGGCACGTCAATTAAAGCTAAATGTTAGCGTTATACTATAGGCACGTCAATTAAAGCTAAATGTTAGCGTTATACTAGAGACACGTCAATTAAAGCTAAATGTTAGCGTTATACTATAGGCACGTCAATTAAAGCTAAATGTTAGGGTTATACTATAGGCACGTTAATTTAAAATGGCTCTTTTTCACTTAAAACTGTCTTTATATTTGGTATTTGATAAATACTTGTAGAATAACAAATTCATGCAAGTTTTATACTAAATTTTATTGAACTCCTTCAATAGAGGCTCGCATAATATAATTTTTTTCAACTCGTTCAATAAATTCAGTATAAAACTAATTCAGTATTACACTCGATCAATATCCTCTATGAGTGTATAATTTTTTACCAGGGTTTTCAACAGAAAACTGGTAATTAAGATTGGTGAATGTCAGCTGGCGGGTAGCTGGGCATAAACTTTTTTATAACTCAGACATTTTTAGAAGGGAATTCAACCAAATGTTGAATGTTTATTTTTTTGTTCTTTAAAAAGGACAATGGCACTTATATCAGAATTTAGAGATTTGATGACTTTTAGCAGAAATCTGACCCTTTTTCACTGTATACATGTGTAATATTGCCCTTTGGTTTTTTTATGCTATTTTGTCCAGATATATCTAAAAAAGTATTTGAGGTATCAACTTGAAACTTCATAGGTGTATAGATCTCACTCAGGAGGTGTGCACTGCACAAGAATGATAACTCTACCTTTTATAATTTTTGAGTTATTGCCCTTTGTTCTTTTTCATACTTAATTTTTCAGTTCAATTTTTTTCTCAAAAAGTATTTGAGGTATCAACTTGAAACTTCATAGGTGGATAGATTTTACTGAGGACGGATGCAGCACACAAGAATGATAACCTACCCTGCATTATTTTTCAGTAATTGCCCTTTGTTATTTTCAGCCATCAGTATTCACATAGGTTTCAAATCTGTAATCACTATAGCCATCAGTTTTCTTTACCAAAAGACCTCTTAAAATGGAATTATTCCGCTCTACTACATATACATTCTTCCAATGAGCAAACACATTCGGCGGGGGATGGCCATGTTGACATGGCTCTTGTTTTCATATTTTATCAATTGAATATTTTATGTAGTTAATCTTAATAACAACGGCTGCATCTTCTGTCAAAGGAGCTAAATATTTTTAAAATCGGGAACTTTATATCAGTCCAGTTTTGAACATGATGTATAATATGTATAATTTTTCAAGTGTTCAAGTATGGTATTATAAGGTTTTAAATGGGAAAGTTTTTTTAGTTAAAAAAATTAATGTTTTTTTTTTGTTTTTTTGGGGGTTAAACACAAATGTTTTCAGATATAAAAATAAAGGAAAAAAGTTCAGATTTTTGTTAAGATGGTTTGATGCTTCAAGCTGATGAAGGGGAATAGCTGCAAAGGCTTTGATTTAAGTATAGGTTAGTGTTTATTAGTAAGTATTTATAAAACTAAATTGGTCAGTAACTGTTTGACCAATTTAACGTTCTAAATACTTTTTAATAAACACTAACAAATTTAGTGTTTGAAATTATTTTTATGAAACTATCGATTTACTACATAGATTAAATTTAGCCAATTTACTTAAGTAAATGTGTTACCATTCATTTGAAATACTGCAATTCTATCTGACAAAAAATAATTTCCAACACTATGTATACATATTTTAAGTTTTTGATACTCTATATATATTCTCCTACTACAGGTGGAGCCAACATGCTATGAATACTTGTTGGTTACAGACGTTTTTGTTCAGTTGGTAAAAATCCCATACTTACTTTCCCCGCTTCGGACAGTGAGTTTTTATGTTTACATAACAAACTTATTGTGGTACTTTTTTATCAACCAAGGTGCATGTGAGGGTATGGTCCCTTTCTGGTGTTATAAATATCATATACTGTAGTATATACATGGAATAAATTTTATGACCTCAAAAGAAATCCTGAAATCATACAGTTTCTCAAAATTTGCATCATTTAAAGAAAAATTGGTTTATTTTTAACCATGTTTCAGTATTACAAACATAGTTATGCATAAACAATAGTGGTTCAATGCTCTACAATATGAAACACTCATAGTGTTTAATATTTTGTTCTAGCTTCAGTAATTTTGGACTTAAGAACTCGAATCTTCCAAATAATACATCGATAATGTATATACATTTGTATATTTATTAAGGGATCATCAGTTGCTTGAATATGTATATAATGATAAAAAATGTCAAAATATCCATGTGAACAATTGAGCCGCGCCATGACAAAACCAACATAGTGCGTTTGCGACCAGCATAGATCCAGACCAGCCTGCGCATCCTCACAGTCTGATCAGGATCCATGCTGTTGCTTACAACCCTGTTACAAGTAGTGATACTGAAAGCGAACAGCATGGATCTTGATCGTGCAAGCTGGTCTGGATCCATGCTGGTGGCAAATGCATTATGTTGGTTTTGTCATGGCATGGCTCAATTGTATTGTATGAACTTGCAAATTACAGTGATAGCATTATCTTCAATACTGGGAGACTGGTGGAATTATTAATTTGTAACTGGATTTTAAGTTGCTTTAATATTTCTTATTTTGTTAAGTTACTGGATAAGGATCTTCAGACATACATTTATGTTTTTATTTGTTTACCTGTAAGGTTTGGGTTTGATAAATCATCAATATTTGGTAATAATATTTTCTTCAGAATGTACTGTTTACATTTATATCATCTCTTACTTGGGCATTATACAGGTCTATGGAGTATTATCTATACATATAAGTTTTATCAAGTTTGTTATATTTCATGCCCCCACCCCTACAAAATGAAGAGACATATAGTTCATGTCCCCTCAAAATTGGGAGGCATCTATTATTTGTTGTAGCGTCTGTCCATCTGTCTACACTACCAAATATGGATAGAGGGCTATCTAACTGTAAACAGAACAAAAGAGAACAATAGAGTTCATCCTGTAACAATAGAGGAAGAGGCAAATAGCCCTCTATCAAACAAAAGAAAATAGCTATAGAAATGGCTCTCACTGAGACTAGGGGAATGTTTCTATATTCTTGTAACACTCTTTTTAACCATGCCTTTGATGAAAGTCAAGGTCATGGTTCTTCTACTGGACCCTGCTTATAACAACAGTTGTAATGTTTCAGGTGTAGATTGTAAAATTTTATACACAATATTATATAATTATACACTATAATATTTTATTTGAAAGCTTCCAGTCTATTGTGATGTAAAATGTTACATGCTTGTAAATTTAATAAATAAAATATGTTTATACTAAAAGCTTTTTAAATGGAGCTGTTAGAGACTTTATTATTTAATGACTTTTAAGTTTAAAAAATCCCCAATTATTGATATTAATAATATTTCTTTCATCACAAATAAATATATACAAAAAGGAAAAAAAAACACAACAACACCTTGATATGAGAAAGAACTAAGCAAAGTGTTTGTTTGATTGAACAGATTAAATAAGTTGCATGAAATTCTTTAAAGAATTGGTTTAATACCAATATGTTATTGACATTAACAATGGTAACTTCATTGAAATGTGCAGGGTTATAATTAGATCCAACTTTTATTTGTTATTGTAGGTTTTGCCAACCCTGTGTGATGATCAGCTATTACTAGTAGACCTAGTTGGTGCTATTAAAGTGTTCCCAACAGATACATTGGTCCAGACAGTGAAAGAAGTGATCAATAATCCACCATCTAGTGAACTTAGTAGAACCAAGGTTTGTTGATAATTTTTAACATGAACTTGTTGTTAGTAGAATATTATTAAACTATTTTAAACTCTGAACAAATATTAATGTCAAGGCACTTTACACTTTATAGTACAAAAGGTCATTTTTCTTGAGTTTAACAATTTTTTTGGGGCATTTAGATATTTAGCTTCTATTCATAGTAGAAATTTATTGAACTCATGGAATAGAATAAAAAAAATGACATATGTTAAAAACTTTTATAAAATAATTTTCATCCTTTACTAAGATTAGATTATCTACAAGTAGCACTGGCACCTTGAATTGAATGATCAGTACAAAAGGTCATGACCCCTTATCAGGGTTAATGACCTCAGCATTTAATCAAACAAGTGCTGGATGACAATGATTTGTACATTTAGGTTTTATATGTTATCAAATTTTCAATTCATTTTGCCAAAATACAACTTTATTTTTCCAATTCTGAGCATGTAATTTACCTTTCTGCTAAATTCAGAAGTAGCCCTGAATGTTCTATAAACTTTTAATGTATTCACCTTGTATTTGATTTTATAATTTTATTTTACAGAAAGGTGTACCATTAGAAGTGAACATGTTACAGTTTTTCTATGCATATGTACAGAGGACATCAGCCAATCAGCTGGTAGATTCATGGTCATCTTTGTCCAGTCTTCTCAAAGATTGTCTACAACTTAATCTTGTAGCTCCTGGACAATTTCTTCTTCTACTGTAAGTTTTTACGCTAGTTCTGTCAGACTAGTTCTATGAAATTGATGGTTAGTAGTAATATAACAGTGGGAGCTTAAAATCAGGGCTTCCATTAGTGAAAGTTTGGGAGTCATTTACCCCTGATTTTGGCTTGTGACTTCAAAAATATAATGATTTTCCTTCTTTACCTATATAATGTGATTTCCAATGTTGGACATTTTGCAGTCTCTGACTTCCAAAGTTTGGAACTTAATGGAAGCCCTGTAAAAGTCATACCTGAAATAATATATAACTTAACACATGTTCGTTTTGTAACACTGTCAGAAACACATAGGTTCACATGAAACTTTTGGAAGATTCTATGTTTGAATATACTGTATGTTGCAATAACTAAATATCTAAAACAGTAGTCTTTTAGAAGACTTTAAAAATAAAAATATTGCTGAGAAGCTTTTGAAGTTATAGGAAAAAGTCTTTTTTTGTAAATGTTGTATTAAGTATATTTCACAGGTAATTGTTTTTCAAAATCCAATATACTTTTATCGGAAATCTGATTGATATGATTGAGCTAAAAAAAATTGGTACAATTTTGAATGGGTTGCTTTGAAAAAGTTGTAAATTTTCTCTTTTTTTTTTTATTACAGAATACTAAATGAGTTTGTACAGAAGACACCATCAATGGTTGACAAGAAAAAGCGGGAAATCCAGGAAATAGCTCAGAAATTACTGGAAGCAGTCTCAAATATAGCTGGTTCCAGTCTTGAACAGACAACATGGTTGAGGAAAAACTATGCTGTAAAACCCGGGCCACAGTCTGACGAACCCGAAGATGGGAACCAGAATGATGATGGTAGATACCAGAATGGTTTTCAGAAGTAGTTTTGTTGTTTTCTTTAGAGTTGTATAATTAGTTTTAAAAATACTTTATACTGAAAGATTTATAAATGAAATAATGAGACTCGAGAATTGTTAGAATTACATGAGTAGTTTCACTAACTTTATATTATTTCATATGAGTCTGTTTTATATTTGATTTACACTACGTTTACTTTTCTTAGTGAAATCATATACTGTTCTGAAAAATTGAATGGTATTTTGTTAAATTGGAGCACGTTTAATTATCAATGTTATTTGAAAATCAGATTCTTTAATTATAGAAGAACATTTCATTGACTTAAAGTTTGTTTCAGTTTTTTGTCATACATATTTTACAACATATAAATTATCAAAGTTCACATCTTTTAAATAATCACCAAATAATAGATGAACATTGTGACAAGGACACTTAACTTTCTTATAGTTTGTATGAATATTGTCATTTCTGTTACAGATTCTGTGGTAATGGAGAGGAGAGTTGTTGAACTAGAACCTACATCAGTTAATTCTGCTGACAGTAAATACAGTGTACAGGCCTTAGCTGCATTGGCAGAGGTAAACATAAATTGATTCTTTCTCTGTAAATTGTAGCTGTTATCATGTCTTATATTGTCACCTTAGTGCAGTAACACGTTAACTTCTTATATGATTTAATAGGAGTTAATCTGTTATTTCACTAAGGTGACGGTATATACCACCAGTATATGTATACAGACAGGTGAGTCTTTGTATATACGCAGTTAGTTAATGTTGTAATTATAAGAAAAAAAAAAAGAGATGCTGATTCTTTAAGGGATTTATATTTGTAGATAATATACTAATGTATATTGACATTCTAACTTGTATTTTTGATTCTCTAAAAAACAGTTTAACTTTTAATAGTACTGAAGTGTAAAATGTGATGGTCAATGAACACAAGATATTACTAGTTAAATGTGTTTTAAGACTTGTTTATCATTGTACAATATTTAATTATGCAGATTATAGATAAAACTATCATTTAATGTTTTACAGATTACTGCAGCATTACTAGATGTTATATATACAAGTGAAGAGAAAGACAAAGTTCCTACATTCCTTACAACACTACTCTATAATATATTCCCTTATCTCAAAAGTCACAAGTAAGTCTCTCAGAGTAAAGTTTCCAGTGGTAAAAAATTGAAGTTGATTTGTCATCGTCAAAGCAATTTTAGGTTTAACATTTCAGGCAATTTTCTGTAACTTAACTTCAGGTTTTACTTGCCAGACTGATCTTTGAAGCTCAGTTTAAGTTTTCACATGCTAGGCATGTCTAGGTAGCTAATTGAAAGGTTTACGTATCTTTTTATATTTTATGTTTTACTTTCCATGCATACCTCTGTAAATTAAGGTCATATATGGTCACCTTAGTGCAGTAATGGGTTAACTTCTATTAAATGATGTAAGGAGTTAACTGGGTACTGCACTAAGGTAACATATTACAGATTTAACTTTTCATAAGGATTGCAAAACATAAATATTGTAGATTCTTGTTGCAAATAATAATTTATGTCAAAATAGGAACACATACAATATTAAAAATTTATAATGAGATATGCTATTTCTTTGTTTTCAGTACAAATAATCTCCCCAGTATACGAGTGGCCTCTCAGTTCCTGTCATCAATCAGTAGTTACCAGTATACAAGGAAAGCATGGAGAAGAGAGGCCCTGGACTTGCTGCTGGATACCAGCTTCTTCCAGATGGACATGGAGAGTATAGGATACTGGGTTACCATTGTAGATAATCTCATGACTCATGATAAAACCACATACAAAGATCTCATGGGTAGGTTTGAATACAAAATACAAATCTGATGAATCAGTGGATTATGTAACTTGATAATATATCATTGGTATGTGAAAGAGGAATGGTATAATGTTTATAAAAAAAATCTCATGGGATGGTTAATGATTTTGATTTAGGTCTTTTGGGGTGGTATATTGTATGACAAAGTTAATCTCATGGGGTGGTAAAATGTAGGACACAACTCTCGTAGGACAGTAAAATGCTAACGAATGTCTTGTGCAGTGGAATATTGCAAGACTAAGCAGGGCTCACACTGGCTCAAATAAAATAATAGCCAATATTTTTAACTTAAAATAATAATAGCCAAAAGTTCAGGGGACTATTCACGATTTAGCAATTAACAACATTAAATAAACATAACATATAAAACTTAAGGATTCTCAAATAAACTGATAGTCATTTGTGTATATTGATCACTAACACTTGCAAACTCATACCACAACTTTAATTGTTATTATAGAACAGAATAAAAATGTTAAGTATAATTACTGTATATCAATAATATTAAAGATTCATCATAAATTTACATAATGCTTTTATCATACAATTTCTTTTGTTTGTTCCAATCAAATTTTGTCAGCTATAACCCCTGTCAATTTCCACATTTCACACAGAACTGGAGTAGATCTAGGTCAAAATTATCGGTGTTGCGAAAATATGTGACAATTGGAATTTTTCCTGTTTTCTGAACAAATATTCACAATTTTGGTTGTTGTGCAAAAAGTTGTTAGGAAGTTAATACTTTTTAGCTCACCTTGCACAAAGTGCAGGTGAGCTTTTAGGATGGCCAACCAAATGGCGTCCGTCGTCAGTCGTCCGTCCACATTTTAAATATTCTAAGGACATCTTCTATGATACCGCAAGGCCAATGTTAATGAAACTTGGCAGGAATACTCTTTGTATGAAGCTCTATCAAGATTGTTCAAAGAATTCCATTTCATGCAGAACCCTGGTTGCCATGGCAACCGAAAGAAAAATCTTTAAATATCTTCTTTTAAAGAACCGTAAGAGCTAGAGCTTAGATATTTGGCATGAAACATCTTCTAATGAGTGTCTACCAAGTTTGTTCAAATAAAAAGCCCTAGGGTCAAAATTGGCCCCGCCCCAGGGGGGTCATTGATTTTCCCTATATGCAGTCTGTAGTAAAAACTTAAAAAAATCTTCTTTTAAAGAACCCAAAGAGCTTAGAGCTAAGATATTGACATGAAATATCTTTCTAGTGAGTGTCTACCAAGTTTGTTCAAATAAAAGCCTTGGGCGTCAAAATTGGCCCTGCCCGGGGGGTCATTGATTTTCCCTATATGCATATAGTAAAAACTTAAAAAAATCTTCTTTAAAGAACCGTAAGAGCTAGAAGCTTAGATATTTGGCCCATGAAACCATCTTCTACCGTGAATGTCTACCAAGTTTGTTCAAAATAAAAAGCCCTGAGGGTCAAAATTGGCCCCGTCCCAGGGGGTCATAGATTTTCCCTATATGCATATAGTAAAAACTTAAAAAATCTTCTTTAAAGAACCCAAAGAGCTAGAGAAAGATATTTAGCATGAAACATGTTCTAATGGGTGTCTACCAAGTTTGTTCAAATAAAAGCCCTGGGGTCAAAATTGGCCCCGCCCCAGGGGGTCATTGATTTTCCCTATATGCATATAGTAAAAACTTAAAAAAATCTTCTTTTAAAGAACTCAAAGAGCTAGAGCTAAGATATTTAGCATGAAACATGTTCTAATGGGTGTCTACCAAGTATGTTCAAATAAAAGCCCTGGGGTCAAAACTGGCCCTTCCCCGGGGGTCATTGATTTTCCTTATATGTGTATAGCAAAAACTTAAAAATCTTCTTTGAAAAAACCCAAATAGCTTGAGTTTAGATATTATACATGAAACATCTTTAAGTAAATATCTACAAAGTTTGTTCAAATAAAAGCCCTTGGGTAAAAATTGGCGCCGGGGGGGGGGGGGGGGAGGCTATATACAGGTGAGCGACCTCAGGGCCATCATGGCCCTCTTGTTAAAATATTTTTATCATTGTTTTCCACTGGCGATTTAGTTAAGCAGCTTAAAACAAAAAAATTCAAAATTTGCCATTACTGCAATAAACGGTAAATTTTGGGTTGGTCAATATCCAGTTTATCAATTTGAAGACCATTTTTTGTGGCAATTGATGGATATTTTGAATGGCTATTATATGCGGACAATGTCTTTAAAGTTTTTAACACTTTTACATCTTGCATGTAATTTTTTATCACCTTAAGGCAATATAGTAAGCAGCACGTGACCGATAAAAGTTGACACTCAATTAAATTTCCAACCCGCAGGTGTTTAATTGGTCCTACTGCATTTTTATCGATTTTTACACCCTTATTTATATTATACACTGTTGGACGTAAAAAATAATCGCCGATTTTGTAGCCAAAAATGCAAAAATATCGCCAAAATGTTATAAAATAATCGCAAATGGCGACTATGGGCGACCGCAGCGTGGAGCCCTGCTAAGATTTCATGGTAATGGTATGATAAAGATCTCAAAAGGAATGTATGAGAAAAGACTTATTTTAGAAAGTTGATAAAAGATCTGCCTTTAAATGTAGGCGTTTTAGGATTAGGTCAAACTTATTCAATCTAGTTTTGAAAAAAAAAAATTGTCTGTTTGGTTTACATAAGTGATACAATGTAGTTAGTATACGTTGTCTTTAAGTTGATAGTTTTTGTCTTTTTACAATTTTAATCTGTTTGATACAAAAACAAAATAATTTTAATCTCTTTTAATATACAAAACAAAAATAATTTTAACATTCGTAGGGTATCAATGGCAGCAGACTGGCTCACTTGAATTTGTTCAGCAATAAGGAACAAAGATAGATCAGAAGGCCGGCATTTTTTGAAGAGACTGGCATTTACAGTTTCTGTAGCGAGTCCTGCCAATATCAGAAATCTATACCAGAAATACAAGGTAGGTGGTCATCAGTAAGTTGGGAGAAAAAAAATTAAAAATATGTTAAGAATAACATGACTATTTCTAATTTTCAAATTTTTACCCTTACCAAAGTAAGAAATATTTACAATGAAATAAAGAAGAAAATCTAATTTCCATGCCTATAGTTTTAAAGTTAACAATTTTGCATGTTTTCAAAAACAAAAAAATAATAACTTTTCATTGGCAAGGCCTAACAGTGTACTGGGAGAGAACCATTTTCCGGACAATACCGTTTCCGGACAAGTATTATAACGCTTAATTTTGTTCTTTATCGATGACGATCGGTATTATATGTCATGAACATGCGCTTGGTTTGATTGTTTGAGAAAATAAACTTCCTTCCAAGTTGATACATTCATTAAATTTCGTGAGGATATCTTACCTGTGTTTTAAAAACAGCTTTATATCCCTTGGGGCATGTAACTTTGTTTCTGCGCATGCGCAATATTTTGTTTATTTCGGGATATAATTTTGGGGTAGCAATTAATGCAAAATGTACTTCATTCTAAGTTCATCGGGTGTTATCCGCAGAGCTAAATCTGTAACGTATCGGAAAATGGTGTTTAGCTAGGTTCATCCACTTTCCGCACTTTGTTTGCTGCCCTAGTACACAAAATACCATTTCACCTTTCAGTCATTCCCGAGACCATCACGTGATCGTTATCTTTTCTATCTATAAATATTTTTCAGTAAATCAGCTTAATTATATAAGAAAGCTAATATGGTGAGAAAGAAATTTTTTTGTTTTCTTAAGAATAATTATCAGTTAAAAACAGATTGAATAGCGCTTAAATATATGTCCGGAAACTGGTTATGGCAAGAAGTGACAATTTACACTTTTGAATGACCTAATTTTAATCCTTCAGTTTGTACATTGGCTTTTCGTCACCAGGCAGTATTATGTGTTATCGGACGTAGTTAGAGCTCAGGTTTTTGTGTGTTAGTTATATTAATGCAATGTTTTATTATTAGAAAAAATAGACATATTAAAAAAAACTCGAAATTCTGTCCGGAAACTTGGTTTCCTGCCCAGTAAAGCTTTAACATTTTGCATGTTTTTAATGCAATTGTTTTGTATAATGTCAATGTGGAATTTGAATCGTTATTACACTTGTGTAATATGTTTAAATGGTTTAATGTGATAACGTTTATTTTGTATCCTGAATTAAAGAGGCAATAAAAAGCGTTAATCTTTATACTTTTACTACCATTTATATTACATGAAATTTTTACAATATTTTGTAGAGAAGTTAGCTGAGAAGTTTAAACCGTATACCCACACGGGCAACCGGTACTTGTTATGGCACAAGTGTTCTATTTGTTTCCGTGTACTCATGTTTACGAGTCTCCCCCAAACCATTCACAATTCCCATGTGGCCTACAATTATTACAGAATTGGTATGTAATTTTACTTAATTCACTTATAATTTTTTTCGTAAACTTACAAAAATGTAGGATGTATGGTTAAAGTTTCCCTTTCAAATTAAATTCAAGTTCAAAGTTAATAATATATTTTTTTTTTATGCAATTACACAAAAATTTTTCAAATTTTTATGGTCTCAATAAAAATGGATATAAAAATGGATCAGATTTTTCATCATAATAAAAAATGGAGTAAGATTTTTCATCATTTAGTTCTAAATAAAAATGGAATTTAATAGTCTCCAAAAAAATGGAGTAATAAAAATGGATTACCGATTTTTCAATCACAATAAAAATGGAGTAGATTTTTCATCATGTTATGGTTTCTCTATAAAAAAAAAATATTGTTAATTGTGTGACAGTTAGCTGTTAATTGAATATTTTCCAGCAAGTGAATAACCCTGTGAGTAAACATTCTAAATTTGTAAATTTCATTCTATAAATAGATACATGGCCCTATAAATAGATAACAATTAGTTTTCTAGTAAATTAGATACATGTTCCTATAAATAGTTTTCATCCATTTTCAGATCCATGTAATTCCCCTACAAATTGAACAAGAACTATCCACAGAAACAGAAGAATTTTGTGTAAGTTATCTCCTTGTTCTTGTTTATTAACCATTTTGGACTTGTAGCAAATATTAATACATATACACTTAGAATATTGATAAGGGCTTCTTTTGATTGTTGGTCTTTTGCTTAATATGCAGTAATAATGGAAAAATACACCAACCTCAAATTTTTAGCCCCAATGGCTAATAATAACAAGGCATTTTTTTTTAAAAACCCAGTATTCAGAGAAAAAAACATTATTAATTTCTTATCCTTTTTCCATACAAACCCTAAGTTCATTTTTTCGTCAAACAATTTACTGTTAACAATTTTTACATTTAAACAGGCAAGCTGGTATATAAAAATCCAAAGAATCATTAGGTCAATTCAAAAAAAATGGTCAAAGGTTTTTATAGAAATATAAGGTACATGTATTAAAAAGATGTATGAATTTCAATTAGAACGTTGACTGATATGTAATCATATTTGCTTTTAAATGTGTAGTTGAATAATGACAGTTTAATTATAACATATTTAAGCATCATATTTTTTATCATTTAAAACCCTAATACAATCGTAAGTCAAAGTCCTTCATTATTCTACAAAAAGCCAAGCTATTATCATGACGTTCTCTTTGGCTTACCAGTGGTGATTTAGTTGACCTTTTTTTGTCTGTGTCCATTTTTCTTAGAAAACTATTGAAAGCTTTAAAAATCCAATGTCTTGTTATTACCTTTCCTTAAAATGTGAATGCCATAATACAAGGTCAAATAATCCCTTCATTTTGCCAAAGTTAATCTGGTAATGCCCCTTTTTAGCTCGACTATTCGATTAAGAATAAGTAGAGCCTATTGCAGTCACCAAGAGCGTCGGCGTCGGCGCTAACCACATTATGTTAAAGTTTTTTTGTAAAATGTTCAAATATTTTAAAAAGTCCCATTGAACCATATGAGCTTTGAAACTTTGCACACTTGTTTCACCATCATGACCCCAAAATTGCTAAGACAGAGGAAGAGGTACCAACTCTAATCAAAGCATTTTGACAGAATTATGCCCCTTTTTTACTTAGAATTTTTACGTTAAAGTTTTTTTTGTAATAGTTAAAAAATATTTTCAAAGTTCCATTGACATTATGGCTTTTGAAACTTTGCCACACTTGTTCACACATGCAATGCCCCCAAACCTGTAGGACAGGAGGAGGTAACTCTATCAAAGCATTTTGACAGGAATTATGCCCCTTTTTCACTTTAGAATTTTAAAAGTTAAAGTTTTTTGTAATAAGTTTCAATTTTTTCCCACAAAGTCCATTTGACATATGGCCCTTTTGAAACTTTGCACACTTGTTCACCATCATGAGCCCAATCTGTAGACAGAAGGAAGGTAACTCTATCAAAGCATTTTGACAGAATTATGCCCCTTTTTTTCGACTAAGAATTTACGTTAAAGTTTTTTGTAATAGTTCAAATATTTTTCCAAAAGTCCATTGACATATGGCTTTGAAAACTTTGCACACTTGTTCACCATCATGACCCCAACCTGTAGACAGGAGGAGGTAACTCTATCAAGCATTTTGACAGAATTATGCCCCTTTTTTCGACTTAGAATTTACGTTAAAGTTTTTGTAATAGTTCAAATATTTTCCAAGTCCATTGACATATGGCTTTGAAACTTTGCACACTTGTTCACCATCATGACCCCAACCTGTAGACAGGAGGAGGTAACTCTATCAAGCATTTTGACAGAATTATGCCCCTTTTTTCGACTTAGAATTTACGTTAAAGTTTTTGTAATAGTTAAAATATTTTTCAAAGTCCATTGACATATGGCTTTGAAACTTTGCACACTTGTTCACCATCATTACCCTAACCTGTAAACAGGAGGTGGTAACTGTATCAAGCATTTTTTTACTATCAAGCACTTAGAATAGTCGAGCGTTGCTGTCCTACCGACAGCTCTTGTTATTGCCATGGTCAAACGTTGTGTTATGGTTCATTTCTCAAACACTGTCAGATGTTCAATGATAAGTTTAAATCCATTTTAAAGGGCAGATAACTTTGGTATTAATTTTGCTCAGTTATGTCCCTTTTAAACGTTAAATTTCTTGGTAAATATTTTGTTAAGTTTCACTTATCAAAAGCTATCATTGACTTAGATTACTTGTTCACTATGCATCTCTAAAGGGCAGATAACCTTGAAATTCAATTTTGCTTTATTATCTCCCTTTTTTCTTAGAATTTTATCATTATTTTTTTTCAAAAACCTCACCATTACAGATATACAGTTATACACTTCAAATAATAAAATATAACTTGTTTGCTGTCAAGAGCAGATAATTCTTTTGCAGAGTTATCCCCCTTTTCTACTTTCTTTATATAGTATCCAGCATTGAGAAAAGTAGGGAGACAGGTCTTTTTTAGTCAATACTTTTCAGTGTATGATTTCTAACAATAAGCTTTTTTTAACTTTAAGTATTTTGAAATAGAACTGAATATGTTTTATCATTTGTGTTAATTTTGAATCTGAAAAACAAGCTTCAGTACTGTAAAGACAGTTTAAATAATGGGTCTTTTTATCTTTTTGTATGTGTTGACAATGATTTATTATAGAATTTCATATAAAAAAAGGTTCATATAAATTGTATAGATATTTAAGGAGTTTGAAAGTTAAACATACGACATATTTCTTGTAGAATGGTTTATTTACAATTTTTCCTTAATTGTTTGATTGAAAGAACCCTTCTGGATGATTTATTGAATGCTTTATTTAACGTTGTTTGCATTTTTATAACAGCCGCTCTATGCCCGCAAGTACCAGGTATACAGATGTGTAGATTCCTGTTGTCAATAGTTACTCCTTTATTTTCTCCATTTTTTTTCTATTTACAACCATTTTACTGACCTTGAACCTTGAAGTATGTCACCTTTTTTTTTTCCATCTATTTCTGAGTTGCAGTCACAATTAAGTATTGTACATGCTCTGTGAAATCATATACATGTATAACTGTACTTCTAAACTAGCGTTAATGAAAAAATTATTAGAACGGTAAAACTATGTAAGAAAAATAGATTGTATGTAAAAAGATCAAGGGTAAATTGAACCCCCATATCCTGATATGAAACACTACCAGGAATTGGAAGTTTGTAATAATTCATGATATAAGTTGTATTTAAAGGTCCATTATGCATTGTATTTCTCAAAAACTTTATATTTTTTGGTATCTTGGTACAGTTTCCAAAACATTACTCATTTGTGATTTAGATGAACTATGCCATTTTGCTCTTTTGGCAATTAGAGTGAATTATTATTTTGTATGGAAGTAAAATTACTACTTTGTTCACATTTTGCTACCTTTATTACACATCACTGCAGGTTTAATGCTACTTTTTCTAAACATGCTCTTATCTTAATCCATTGTTGGAGTAACAAAACTATGTCAAAAAGCATGGCGATTATTAAAAACATTGCTGACATTTCTAAAAGGATTAAAAAATATGTATTTCTGAGGCATAAAACCTTTAATTGTTTTACTTTTACCTAATTGACATACATTAAAATAAAAAATATTTCATTGAAAATTTGAAGACTGGAAGTATAATTGTACAGTTGTTATGTTAAATGATTTCACATTTCATGTACTGCAACATATAATCAAGGTATTGTCCATCACAAGATCTCAACTAAATGTACATACATTGTATTTTTATGTTGTTTTTGTGGTTATAATTAATTTTGGCAGTATTTTACAATTTTCTGTTATTTTTTATTTTTTGTTAGTTATTGTATTATTTTTCTATGTAAATTTTGTTAAAACTCTAGGCTTATTCAAGAGTTGATAATAATTTTATAGAAAATATATAATTTTTATATCTTTAACAGGAAAATACATGAAACAGTGTAAATATTTAGTTATTTACATTTATATATTAATATTCTAATTAAAATAATAGTAGTTTTATTGTGTATAATGTTTGAATATATTTCAATCACTGACTGGCTTCTATTGGTGCTTTATTGTCTCTAACAGTTTCTGTAAATCTTTTTTCACTCATCCTTAACTGTGAGATGTGGATAAATTTAATGCTAAATACATTATGATAATCAAACAATAATAGCTAGACTTGTATCAATGTATAGAGTTATGGGCCATTCCCCAAAAGTCATTTTGAAAATAATCCAAATATTTCTGGTCAGAAAAGTTATGATATATGACACTCTGAAAACAGAAAAGAACACAAATGAACAAGTAAATTGTTCACAAAAAACCACATTTTTTCAGCTTTAATAATGACAATGTGTGTGTAATTTTTGTGGGGGGGGGGGGGAGGACTGGTCAAAGAGATTATAGTTTTCTGCCCAAAATAATTATACATCAGTTTAAACCCTGACAATATAGGCCCAACACACTTGATGCCAAATTTATTGTGTGTAAAGTTTTTGGGTTAAAATCCCTAAAAAAAAAAGTTTACACTTGTCAGTATTCATGAATTTCATAACCAGAGTATTATATCAGACATTTTATGAAGGGAATCAGGCAAGATAAAAAGATGAATGTTGTGTTTGCATGATGCATGTATCATTTATAATGTATACTCTAAGACCATTGTTGATGTAGATTCTAAGACCATTGATGATGTATATTCTTAGACCATTGCTGATGTATATTCTAAGACTGTTGATGATGTATATTCTTAGACCATTGCTGATGTATATTCTAAGACTGTTGATGATGTAGATTCTAAGACCGTATATTCTAAGACCATTGCTGACATTATATTCTAGGATCATTATTGATGTATATTCTAAGATCATTTCTGATGTAAATTCTAAGACCATTCCTGATATATATTCTAAGATCATTGAGATCATTGCTGACATATATTCTAAGACCATACTTGTATATTCTTAGACCATTGCTGATGTATATTCTAAGACTGTTGATGATGTAGATTCTAAGACCGTATATTCTAAGACCATTGCTGACATTATATTCTAGGATCATTATTGATGTATATTCTAAGATCATTTCTGATGTAAATTCTAAGACCATTCCTGATGTATATTCTAAGATCATTGAGATCATTGCTGACATATATTCTAAGACCATACTTGTATATTCTAAGACCATTGCTGATGTATATGCTAAGACCATTGCTGACATAAATCTTAAGACCATTGCTGACATATATGCTAAAATCATTGCTGACGTATATTGTAAGACCATTGCTGACATATATTCTAAGATCATTGCTGATGTATATGCTAAGACCATTGCTGACATATATTATAAGACCATTGCTGACATATATTGTAAGACCATTGCTGATATATATTCTATGACCATTGCTGACATATATTATAAGACCATTGCTGATGTATATTCTAAGACCATTGCATACAGTCTTATATAAGTAGGGAGAGCATTGGATAAGTAATCCATGGATTGCTGGTAAGATCCTTAGGCCAGGCGTAATTTCCCTGTGACAATTGTTTTAGACGTCGAGTCTAAAGGTCATTTATCTCCCACTGCTGATTTAGAAATTGTTTGGGATGAGTAGTCGGTCACTTGCAAAGAAATTGGTAATTACTGGATAGTTATCCAGGAAAGTTTTAAGGTAATATGACTTAAAACATGTGTTAAAATTGGATCATAAAGAGAAGGAAAAAAAACAATAAAGCACAGAATTTGAATTTATTTGCCAGACTTTCATGAACCTGTGATAAGTGATACTTTAACTATAATTTCCAGGAGGCAGCAATGCTTGCTAGTTTTTGCTAACTGAAACAATTAGTTTGCTGAATTGCCTGTATTTCTTGATTGAGTCACTAACAACTGACAAACAATTAAATACCACACCCTAAGATTCCGTATCCATTTTACCTCCGCATTTTACCTCAGAAAGAAAAAAAATGTTTTTAACATCCTTATTTCTCTTTTAAAAGAAATTTTAGCACAAATATTATTAATATTCAATAATCTTTTTACTTAAATGTTTAAGAGATTAACCTTCTGTAGCAGTTTTCTTTTTATTTATACCACCCACATTGATATGTTTTTGCATAAGATTTGATAAATGGCTTTGTTACACCCCTTTTCTAAACGGTTAACCATGTATAATTATATTAAATCTGCATGTAAGACATCTAAATAAAAAAATAAGATGATTATCATGTTTAAAAAAGATCTTTAATATATTTGTAGGACACAAGTTCAACGTATTGCAGCCTTGGACTCGAGCTGGGCTCACCTTGGTAATGGGTTAAATGCCCACAATAATCCATCGTGGATGCAGTTATATCTGAGTGCCTGTAAACTACTGGACCTATGTTTGTCTCTACCAGCTGATACAGTCCCTCAGTTTCAACTGTAAGTGTTCATTGACTTAATTCAAGTTAACTGCTTTCAGTATTTTAGGAAGACCTCAGGTGCCCCTCCTTGCATTATTTCATGTATTTCTAACTGGCCTTTTGGGGACTTTCAAGCTTTACTGGCGGAGATCTCAAGTGACCATGCATTATTTCATGCAAGGATAGACACCAAAATAAAAAACCCAAAAACATTCTGTTTAAAATAGCGTAACAACCTAAAGAAAAAAATCCAAAGTTTTCGGTGGGATTTGGGAAACCTAAGCAGTGTTGGAGCAGGTTGTATTTAAAATCATTGAAAATAACCAAATTTGGCCCCATACCCCCCATAAATTTTAAAATCCTAAATATCTGTTCTGAAAATGGTATTGATATATAGATTAAGTCATTTAGCTAAAAGGGGAGGATCTTGAAGATTATTTATGATGGCATCAACTATTATAATAAATATAAGCCACAATAATTGTTACATTTTAGATATCGTTGGGCATTTATTGGTGGAGCAGCAGCTGGGGAAGGTGAAGAAGACATGGAAGAAGAAGACAAAACAAAGAAGAAAGAAACAAGAGGAAAACAAAATCCTAGAGGACGACAGCAGTTTAAACCTCATATCATCCGATTAGCTAAACTGCTTAATACTAAGGTAAGTGTTAAAATTGACGATAATGCTTTGGAGAGAAAAACAATGATGGAAATTATTTAAACTTTAGCTGAAAATAAGGGTTTTTTTCCAGGCAAACACTGCTCAACCCAGAAGTACATGTAATACGATTAACCTTATGCAAGTGTATGACTGTCGACTCCATTGTTGTCTTTGCATTATTATCTTTGATCATAATTGACAAAGTAAAGTCAAAAATTTATTGAAGTTTAAAAACTTGAACCATTAGGATTGTTGTATACTTTTTGTTTATTGATTTACATCTGATTTGTAATCCAATGGTGCTGGTTCTATCCCTGGCCAAGAATTAATCCTGCCATGACAATTGATCTTAGACATTAAGTCAAATTGTCATTTGTCTCTCACTGTTGATTCAGATGTTATATTGGATAGGAAGTTGAAGAAAGGAGTAGTTACTGGTATGTTATCCAGGAAAGCTGGTTAGGTGAACTGACAGCTAAGGCATGACAAAAACTTTGTTAAAATCAGCATTAAAAAAAGATAAACAAACAGACAAAGTACATGTACATCTATAATGTATTAACTAATGATAGACCTAAATGATTTATGAATCTTTTGATTTCAGTTACAGGGGGATATTCCTATGATGAAGATGGTACCAGGCAGACCATTGCTGACTTTTACACATTTGAGATCACTACAAGAGTTACAGCCCTTCTTTAACACCTTGTGTCTGGCTAATCAGACTGATAATCTATTTAGGGCTGTAAGGCAGCTTGGAGCCAGCAGTTCACATAACCAGTCTAAAAATTTAACCAATGGGCATGGAGAAATGACAACTTCCCTCCAGTTTGAGACAAAGAATTCCATTGGTCAAGGAATACCCAAGTCAAAATCAGTTCCAGCTTTCCCAGTCAGTCAAAGTCCAAAAATAGAAGCAGCATCATCGGACAGCAAGTCTAGTCAGCAGTATATTGAAGAAGTTCTAATGAGAGACTTTCTGGAACCTATGGTTTGAAAAACGAACAAAAAAAAATATTTCTTTCAGAATATAAGGCATCAGGTAGCCAAAGTTAACAAACTCTAAATATCTGTAAACTATTTGACACTATGCACCTAATTTTTACCCATTTAGTCTTTCATGTCAAATGAAAGGAGTATAAAATAATGTACATAATACACTTCAATATGTAAAGTTCAAACCAAGGAAATGGCTTGAAATTCTGAGAGAAAACAAATTCTTACAATAAAGTAATAGACTTGGAATATAAGCAGACTCAATCAAACCGAGCTTGCAACATTTAATATTTTTGCCATTTTTGGCGTTCTTTAGGGATTCTATTTTTTTCTATTTGTATGTTTATTTCCATTTCAAATGCACAAATATACTTCTTCATAGTCAAATAATACAATTTTATCTCTTATTGTTTTTACATAATTATGATGAACAGTCTTTAATGTGTTCTTACATATCTATAAACTATAAAGTTTATTTCATTTTCTGTCTCAATGAAAAATTTCTATGAGAGATAAATGAGTCTTGTTAGAAATAGAATCACAGGTCAGGAATAAAAATTTTAGGAAAAGGAAGGTATGAAACATAGTCTAAGATACTGTAAACTTGTCATTCTGAATCTGAAAGTGATTACCATCTGCCACTAGAATAAAGCTAGGCCAGTCTGACTATTTATGATGTATACTGTTGACTGACAAACTTTTTATCAAAAGATCCCTAAAGTTTATAATGGACAATTTCAAAAATGGAAGTTGGACAAGTTCATTTAAGAAATTCAGAAGGTTAAAGGTTAACCGCACTAACAATTCTTAATATGTAAATAATTAATTGTCAAGACGTTTGTATATTGTGTCAAACTGATCTCTAGTTTAAATGTAAGGGACTGCATGTACATTTTGTATAAAAAAATTGCTTAGTTTTTAGTTTAAGCTTGTTATAAAATAACATGTAGTTAACTTAAAAAGAGCTTCAAAATTATTGACATTTTTTGTGTGACTTTCGTGTTAATCAGTAAAAAGTTTATGATAAAAAAAGATGATATATCTGTGAAATATGTTGTATGTAAAGTTGAAACTAAATTTTTATTGTTACATTTATTGATAATGAAAAAGTGGAAAAGGGGGATTGTTTTCCATTTGAAAATACCTTATATATGTTCCTGTAAGGTGGAAATACTGCAGTATCTCCAATAATTGTTATAAATATCTTATTGTTTTGTTATTTAGTTATTGCCCAAATCTTAATTGTAAAACAATTATGATTCAATTCCAGGTTTGTTTTGTTATATATACATGTAATACTTGTTAAGTGATTTTTTTCATTATTTGGAAAAACACAATATTGTTTTTTTGTTATGCCCCCACAGAGTGGGAGCATATAGCGTTGCACTTGTCCGTCCGAGTGTCCGTCCGAGTGTCCGTCCGTACGTCCCAAAATCTTGTGAACGCAACTCCTCTTAAACCGGATGGCAGATTTTGCTTAAACTTACAGGGATGAACAACCTTAATGTGTAGATGGTAGTTAAGGAAGGAATTTATGCTGCGACCAAATTTAACAGAGTTATGGCCCTTTGTTGATTTTTTCACTATGTACTATGTAGAAATTTTGTGAACGCAACTCCTCTTAAACCGGATGGCAGATTTTGCTTAAACTTCCAGGGATGATAAACCTTAATGTGTAGATGGTAGTAAAGGGAGGAATTTTTGCTGCGACCAAATTTAACAGAATTATGGCCCTTTGTTGATTTTTTCACTATATACTATGTAGAAATTTTGTGAACGCAACTCCTCTTAAACCGGATGGCAGATTTTGCTTAAACTTACAGGGATGAACAACCTTAATGTGTAGATGGTAGTAAAGGGAGGAATTTTTGCTGCGACCAAATTTAACAGAATTATGGCCCTTTGTTTATTTTTTCACTATATACAATGTAGAAATTTTGTGAACTCAACTCCTCTTAAACTGGTTGGCAGATTTTGCTTAAACTTACAGGGATGAACAACGTTAATGTGTAGATGGTAGTAAAGGGAGGAATTTTTGCTGCGACCAAATTTAAAAGAATTATGGCCCTTTGTTTATTTTTTCACTATATACTATGTAGATATTTTGCGAAGGCAACTCCTCTTAAACCGGATGGCAGATTTTGCTTAAACTTCCAGGGATGAACAACTTTAATGTGTAGATGGTAGTAAAGGAAGGAATTTTTGCTGCGACCAAATTTAACAGAATTATGGCCCTTTGTTGATTTTTTCACTATATACTATGCAGAAATTTTGTGAACGCAACTCCTCTTAAACCGGATGGCAGATTTTGCTTAAACTTCCAGGGATGAACAACCTTCATGTGTAGATGGTAGTAAAGGAAGGAATTTTTGCTGCGATCAATTTAACAGAATTATGGCCCTTTGTTGATTTTTAGTTTTCAACTTGTGGCACATGTAGTCCAAAAAAAAAATTTGACCTAAAGTATTAAGATTGACAGAACAGTGGCGTGTGGGGGCATCCGTGTCCTATGGACACATTTCTAGTTTAATTCCAGCATTATCAAACAGTTGCCAAAAGTTCTTGCTACAAAGTACAAACAAGAATCGAATTTTATGTCTGCATTATTCAATGAAGTCATCCAGTCATACTTTTACAAAGGGCTTATTTCAAATTATTTGCTCTTGTTTATATATGTACTATTGTTAGTCATATATGTTTGGTGATGCTTTTATGGAAGGAAATATTAACATTTAGTTATGACTGAATCTGTATCTATGTTTTGACTTAGTAAAGTTGTTATTTGTTAAAGAAATTGATGTATTTGTTTAATGTTGTGGGTAATTATGTATATGAATTTATATCAAACTTAAACTTCTCCTGTAACAAACTAAGTTATATAGAAGACAATGTGGGTATGGTATATAACATTATAGTACTGCATCATGGGAATATCTTTCTATAAACTCATAGATATTATACCCACCCACCCACTAATGTTTTTCTTCACCCTGGGACTTCACCTATCCTATCCTATATTATTAGCACAAAGTAAGAAATTTGGGAAATTAATGTAGGTGTAAGAACTAAATATACGTTTATTCCATCATGATGACAGAATGTACCTGTTAGTTCCTCAATGGGAATGGATTTTTTAAACATACAGTTAATGTACCTGGTTCCAGTGACAGTCATATGGTAAATCCTCTCTAAAATATCTAGCACTGCAGTTTTGACATATTCATGGCCATTTTAGCGCATAAAGAAAACCACTGCATTGACATGGCAGTGTAGGGGCAGACAAAAGGTAAACCCTTCACTCAGTATTGGTAGCCAATGGTTATAAATGCCTGATGCATTACCATAGTAACTTGTTTCTCTGTATATAGTTTGGGATGTTCATCAGAAGTCTTTAGTGCCATCTATTTATAGACATGCCATCTAATTATACCCCCACCACAAAATGTGGGGGGGGCTATAATGGATTCGCTTTGTCGCGTCGGTCGGTCGGTCGGTCGGTCAGTCGGTCGGTCGGTCGGTCGGTCGGTCCGTCCGTCTCCATTTTCGTGTCCGCTCTATAACTCCTATACCACTTGAAGGATTTTCTTCAAACTTGGCTCAAATGTTCACCTCGGCAAGGGGATGTGCAGAACCCATGTTGCCCATGTGTCAGCTCAAGGTCAAGGTCACAATTGAAGGTCAAATATCAAACACAATCATATATTAGGACAGTATGTCGTGTCCGCTCTGTAGGTCCTACAATAATTGGAAAGATTTTCTTCAAAAACTTGGCTAAAATGTTCACCTCAACAAGGGGAATGTGCAGAACTCATGTTGCCCATGTGTCATTTTAAGGTCAAGGTCACAATTGAAGGGTCAAATATCAAACAATTAAATATTACACAATATGTCGTGTCCGCTCTGTAAGTCCTACACTAATTGAAAGATTTTCTTCAAAACTTGGCTCAAATGTTCATTTCAACAATGGGATGTGCAGAACCCATGTTGCCCATGTGTCAGCTCAAGGTCAAGGTCACAATTGAAGGTCAAATATCAAACAATCAAATATTACACAGTATGTCGTGTCCGCTCTGTAAGTCCTACACTTATCGAAAGATTTTCTTCAAACTTGGCTCAAATGTTCACCTCAACAAGGTTATGTGCAGAACCGCATGTCACTCTTTTGCTGGCTTAAGGTCAAGGTCACACACTTGAAGGTAAAAATTGAACCTAGAAAATGTTCTTTAATTTTTAACATATATCTGCATATTTCTGAATCTAGGAAAAGGTATTTGCTTGAAACTTAAAAATATAAATGAAGTATCACAATTAAGATATGCTGGTCAAGTTTCATAACTCTGTATTGCATTTTAACAAAGTTATGCCCCTTTTTAATCTTCAAATTTACATACAATCACATATTAGACAATATGTTGTGTCCGCTCTATAAATCCTATACTAATGGAAAGAATTTTCTTCAAACTTTTCTCAAATGTTCACCTAAACAAGGTTATGTGCAGAATCCATGTCACCTTTGTGCAGGCTAAAGTCAAGGTCAGACTTGAAGGTCAAAAATTGACTTGGAAAATGTTCTTAGATTAAACATGTTCTTTAATATTCCGGAAACTAGCATAGGTATTTGCTTGAAACTTGAAAGATATATGAGGTGTCACAATTACGATATGCAGGTCAAGTTTCATAACTCTGTATTGGATTTTGACAAAGTTATGCCCCTTTTTAAGTCTTTAAATTTACATACAATCAATACTAGACAATATGTGTGTCCGCTCTATAAATTCTATACTAATGGAAGGATTTTCTTCAAACTTTTACTCAAATGTTCACTCCAATTGGGCGATGTGCAGAACCCATCTTACCCTTGTGCAAGCTGAAGGTCAAAGGCCACACTTGAAGGTCAAAAATTGACTTATAAAAAGTTTAGTATATTGGGGAAAATGAAAGGTTATTTGTAACTGTTTCGAACATGATTTGATAATAGATATTTTTACTATTACCTGTACAATTAGTCTTTTTTTCACCAGAGATAATTTCTTTTTATGTATTTGTGTCACTTAAGTTATTCCCTTAACCACCTTTCCAAGTTGTCTTCTGTCAAGGACATTGGTGGGGGTATGAATCGCATTCAGCGATAGTTCTAGTTATAGAAATGTTATCTATTTTTAGAACTTCAGGACCAATATTGAGTGTTTTGTGAGCTGTAAAATGCATTAAAGTGCTGTTTTGTTTCATTAATGTTTTTTCTTTTCATGTCATATGAAGAATTAATTATTTACCATATTAACATTAGAAAATACCTGAATGTGATGTGTAGTTGTTAAATTTTACAGATATTTTTCTTGTAGTAAATTTCTGCTTTGAAATTTAATAAGGGCTTTCTGCAGCTATGAAATGTTTTTGTGCTTAAAAATTAAATGTATTCTTTGTTTGCTGTATTATCAAAATATCAGACTTTCATTAAATTTTACAGAAACACATCATATCTTTCAATGTTTGTTTTATCTTCTTTTGTCAAACTTGAAGACTAGTCTTAATGGCATCTTTATTTCCTGAAATAGTATTGTACATGTATCTATCAAATTGAATAAATTTTTATTTTACATAAATACATAATTCTAGGAAACAAGGCTTCACAAATTTAGATTTAAAAACCATACAAATTTGCAGATTTTATGTTTACATTATAGATTGTAATATTAAGCAATTATGAACTTAAGAATTAAAGAACACATCAAATTATTGTGGAGAAAAGTCTGAAATCAAAATAATTATTGTTTTTGATTTTGTTTTTGTAGTCTTTTAACAAAAAAATGTAATATGTGTTAAATTATTTTGAAAAGAGTAAATATTATTCATGAATGGTGCATATTTTTGTATGTGCTCAGTACTAGTGTGCCCATGCCATGTGATTGTTATGTCTGTTTTAGAAATATAGTAGAAAAAATACCTTTCCCATTGACTGCATATCTTTTCTGAAATATGCATATCTTTTCTGAAATATGTAAATCTACATGGCTTAGTTGAGTGGTGAGGTGATACCTTGTGCAATGAGATGGCGTTTTTTAGTTCTCCCTCGTGACAACAGGGAAAGAGAAGATAACGATAGAAAAGTCATATTCAGATGCTTGTACATTGGTTACTTGTTTGGGGGGGGTTTAATAGTGACGACAAGGAACGTGTTTTTATTTTTGCCTATGATACAAAAGAGAAAGAACATAGTACAAGGACGAGTATAAAAAAGATTGCCGAAGGTTTTTAATAGACATAAACATTACAAGGTTTGGGCACACTGCTTACATATACATTAATCATCTGGTGATTGGTTGTGTATATTACATAGATTTTATTTATTGATTTATTCATATTTGGATTCTATTTTGATGATTATATAATGATACTGTTACCATAAATAAAGGAGAACATTAACTATGTATGGTTGTGTTTGTTGTTTTCTTGGAATGCATTTGTAAAGGTCGCCTCTGTGATAGTGGCAGTAAATCATAGGCTGTTACTGCTGTGTTTTCAAAAAAGTAAATCTTGCAACCCTTACCAGCTGAATCTTCAACACTTAATGTATTGGAATCAAAGTTCCTGAAGGAAACCAGATTATTTTAAAATTTAAGATAAATCCAACTTGCAGAATAGGTTAACCATAAAGGCCCTATATAACTGGAAAAATGGATGGCACAGTTATATAACTTTGTTATATGTACTTTGTATTGATAAGTATTAAAATTCGTAAAATATGAAGCCATTAGTTTAGATAGAACTGATATATCTTCTTGCTGGTTTAGGTTAATCCATATCCATTTTTCAAATG